CTGTCTATGAGCTCTGGGCTTTTGGCCACCATCCCCTCTCCTAGTCTCCAAATCAACAATGGGTTAACTTAGTTTGTGTTACCTGTTTTGGTGCTCTGCATGTCTAGGAAGCCTGTGTGTAAGGCTTCAGACAATCTTCGTGAAGCAAAGGTTTCTGTTGTTTAAGATTTTTGGTAGTTACATCAACGTTAACTTCCACCAGTGAACCCCTTGGCGATGGGGTTAGAAGTAGGTTAGGTTGGATTTTAGCTATGTTACACAATTAGAAGATGTTACTGTTCAAATCAACTCTAAATTTGGCCTGACAGCTTCTTCTCTTATAACGTCTCTATTTGGTTAATAGGTGACAATTCAATATAAAGGGGAAGATTTGAACCTAACCCTGACAAGTGCAACAGTATCGACTTCTTATACTTGTGCGGCTTTTCCATAAAACATTATTTAGAAGTTGAACCAGAAGCTCCTTTTTACTGAACACAAATCCTGATGTTAGGATGTCTCAGGAAGAAAAACTTGAAAGTTTAAAAAGTTCAAATAACTGCTTTCTATGTTGTATTGAGTTAGGGCATTATTTAGAGAGATTTAGGTGCTTCAAGATAACTTATTAGTTGTGAGAAATAAATCCATCCTTCAGGCAGAGGATTTAGTGTGAGAGTGCTGCTGCCAGTATTTGTTGAAAATGCTCCAGGGTTGCCCATGGGATCTGGTCATTATTGGTGCTGAGTGCCTTAGCAGACTTTTCATATGGCTTTGATGGAATACATCATAAAGGCTTTCAAGGAGCTGGACCGTGGCCTTTGTCACTGTATTTTACCAGCAATCATCTTTCTTGTCCTTGTGTGCCTCTAATTACAGTGACCTTCAGAAGATTTCTTCTGCATAGTCACTTTGTTTGATGACTTGCAGCTGATCTTCCTTTCTTTATTGATATAACAAGTAAGTCTTTAAAGTGGGTTTAATTCGGAGGAAAAGAATTTCCTTTATAATCAGCATTCTTCCAAATTTTATAAAGTGACAGAGACAAAGTGTTAGGACTATAATCCCCCCCCCCCCCCCCTTTTTTTATTACCCTTTTAGAGTAGAACATAACTTTTTATTGAAATCACCAGGTGTGCACTGGCTCCCACTGTGTCTTTTTTTCACTGCTTAGATTAGCCAGCCACAAATAATGACGTGAATCTGCGGAGGAGACAGATCAGCCAGCAGAGTTCATATCTTGGAGACCTCCAGATTTGACTGCAGTGAAAAATGTGACCCCTTGTCAGAGTTGTTTAATGCTAAGGAAGACTTCCAGTTTTCCAAGGGAGTTTTGTCTCAGACTTCATTACCCAAGTTGTTTGCTAAGGGACACATCTGTTATCTGGGGTACAATAAAATCCTCCTTATGAATCAACCCTGATGCATATCTGCCCTGTTAGGTCAACACTGTTCTGGCAGATTGACATTCTGTTGGCTTACTGTTAATAAAGGGTCATATACTATTAGACTGTCAACCTCAACAACCAAAAAGATGAAAGTTTTCCACTTTGTTGGTCTGGCTTTCCAATATTAAACTAAAGCGATTCAATCCAGCCTGTGAAAAAGATCATTTTGCTTTCCTTTTCAACAGCTGGTTTTGTGGAAAGACAGCTGACAAATTAAAAAGAAAAACTCAAATCTTTTAACCCCTACAGTACAGACACCCAGCACCTTTGTTATGCTGTGGTGGCATTTTACAGGCGTGGTTTGGGTCAATAGAGAGAAAGGTCACAAATTACAAATTAGTACAAAGTTGGTCTGAATGACCAGCTTTGTTATATGATTTCAACTAGTTTATGGAACTATTCCTGTCGTATGTGGTGGCCTATCTCCTTATCAGATTTTTTCTTGAAGTTAGTTATTTGGAGTGAGGCCAGCAGACACCAATCAGCTACAGATCCTTTTGACAGAATACTTGTCAGTCAAAGTAGCCCTAAATCAACTCAAATTAATACTATTCAATTCAATTTACAACAGTAGTTGCCTTATGGTGCTTTATATTGTAAGGTAAAAACCCTACAATAAACTCCGGCTTATAGTGTACATTAAAAAAATCCAGTATATAGATAAATGACAGAATGAGTTATGACAGAATGCACATTTGTTATGAAGGGGCAAACTATACATACAGTAAAAGCCAAAAACTTCCTGCTAGCCTCTAAACGTGTTATTTCATATTTTAAAGTTAGGTATTTTAACATGGAAGTATATGGCGATTGAGTCACTTTTGGATCTAAAACCAAGTGTCCATTTGTGGAACTGCAACTTTTTAAACTCTGCCTTGGCTTAAAAATTTCAGGAGGTTTCTGCAGAACAAGCATAGTACTAGCACATCCATAGTTAATATGATATCTGAGTTTAAATTAAATTGACAAACTTTTCCATTCCTGACCTGTTAGTGTGGCTACAGAAAAAAAAAGGCAATACTAAAGAACAGATGGTAAAACTAAATGAGGAATTTGAGGGTTGACACTGCATGATAAGCAGAGTTTTCCTTTTTCTGATATTCAGACCAACTTTGGTACAAATGGATATAAACAGAAAATGCCACTGTTTACCGCCCAGTTACTGCTAATGGGAAATAAATGTGCCTTCCTGCAGCACTATCCAGATGCCCCAATTCTGCATGTGGAAAAACTTTCAGCCTGGATAGACTTTGGAGTTTCTGAGGCCTGAGGCGAACTGTGGGACAAAAGACTGGCAGGGAGAGATGAATGAGCAGTGTAAAGAAGAGGAGTGAGTAGGGTAAAGAGAAGCTAGGGAATAGAAGATTGACTTCAAGGGCAAGAGGGAGCGAGCAAATGAATGGAAGAACAAATTAGTCAGGAGTGATAAATTTTGACAGGAGTTGGAACTGGAAAGCCTGCGAAATAATGCTAGAGACACATTACTTTTGTAGTTGGAAGATATTTCATGATGAAGTTTTTATATTTTCTCCTTTACTTTGCACCAGACACATTTACCTTATATGCAAAAGATGTCTGCTTTTAGGTTAGGAGGACAAAAAAACCCAGCATAAGGAAATCACGCGATCATTTAAAACTAGTAGCAATAACGAGCCCGGATAAATGGGATGGTTGCCAATTTGCAAGCACAAGACAATGGTTATTGTAAAGACTGACATTCCTGTAGTCAGATATTAAATTAAATTTGCTCAAAGCACAGCTATGAAAAAGTGAAGCTTCTCAGGAGTGTTAGCATTTAAATAATCTGTGCAAAAAGATCCAGCAGATGAACCCGTAGCCTCCCCTTCCCTCTGGGGTTATCACTCATCTTACCCTGATGATGTTAAAAGGATGGCTGTCAGTTAAATACCAGGCATCTGGCCTCAATGTGGCAATATTTTGAGCTTGAGACACTATACAACTATTGGCTGCATTTGGCACTGAGAAAGCCAACACAGCCAAAGACATGTAACCAGAGGGCTTTCCTGTTATGCTTTTGCCTAGTAACCATGTCCTCACATTACATTATAACTCTGTAATCACAGTCAGCTGTCATTTCAATCTCTGGATGAATGAATAAGACCTAAAACAGCAGTGTAAACAGGAAATGTGCTGTGTTTCATAAAGTGACTTGGTTCTAGAGTTGGTATAATGAAAATCTGATATAGTCTCGAGTTATCTGTGTGTCTCAGTCACTGGCAGCTGCTTGTCAGATATGTGAGTGTTGGTGTTGGACATGAGCAGTGTCTGGTTGGGCAGCCTGGACGAGCACAGTCTCAGGCTTCTCCAGCTCTAGTGGGAGTAACATGAACAGAACTCTCTGTGCTGCCACTCTGCATAAGAACCCAGACCGCATTGTCAAAATAAAACAGTATAAATTCTCAGAAAGCCTATGTTTGTCTTTTTTTGTGGCTGGATATCTTTCATGATGGCATTGGCTTGTCCTGCCTCATATATCTGTGTCCACTGTTGGACGACTTTAAATTCAGTGTTATTCTAACTCTTTGTAAGTTAGGAAGGTCGTGTGTGATTTTAGCTGCACATTCTGTGGTTTAGAGGGGGATAAGTCATATACAGCACATGATTTTGTTTTTCCTGATACTTCCAATTATATATATGTTAGATATAATTAATGTTACATATTTACTCATTATAGTTTCTGCTGTGTTTTGTGACATAAATATACATCATTATGTACAGGTAGCATGCTACATACCAAGGCTTTTACTTTCCTAAAAATAACTTAAAACAAAAAATATGTGAGATACTGTTCTTTACTTGTATCACTCAAAAGAATAACATATATACATTAATGATACTCCTATCATGCTTCAGTACAGCCACCATATTCCTGTGGTAATCAGTTTCCACTGACAAGTTTGTTCTTGTCTTAATCACAGTACCATCTCCATTATTGATGTTAGCTCAAATAAGGAAATGCTTGGTTAAGTCTTTGTGGGGTCTCAGTAACTTCATTAAAAAAAACAAAGGAAACCCCCCCTATCAACACTTAAATGTAAAGCACAATACGCCTCTTTGTTCTTGCTAAGATGAATGCTGTGGCATTGTGGGGGACCATGTGGGCGTGGGCACACATGACATTTATGTCAATTATAACCGAGAGGAGAAAAGGCATTCTGACTTACTGCCCTTGTTTTTTCTATTCTCTGCTTGGGCTTTGAGGGTACAGCTGAGGGCTGCGTTTCTGTGGTAGAAAGGCACAACTTTACAGGCTTTTCTTTGGACCTGACATCCTACACCAACCACCATCCCTGTGGGACACCCTTGGATCCCCACCCGAGAAACTAGGGAGAACCACCTGTTTCTGGACTACAGCAAGGGAATAAAGCAGCAGAGGTAGCCTTTGTGGTGAAACAGCCTTGAGAGTGGACCAAATAGTGGCAATTTCAAAGAGGTCCAAGTACAGAGGAATGTTTGGATTCCAGCAGCTTATACCAGCACACCCATATGAATGGCTGATTGAGTGGGAGTGGAAGAACGAGATAAAAAAAAAACAAAGAAGAAAGACAGGGCTGATAGATTAAGGAAGGAAAAGAATGGTGAGCAGAGCTGCAAATGTGTAAGGGAGGGGATCTGTAGGGTGAGTATAGACGAGAGCAACACCAGGGAGGGAATTACTACTGTCACTCCTCTTCAAACCCACCTGTAACAACCAGAACAGCTGTACACCCAGTCAAAGGAAGAGAAAAAGGCTCAGTTAAGCCTAGCTGTGGGACGGAAATACTGTTGGGCAAGCTGCGGCAGGTGAAGTTGGAAGCGTGTACGGTAGAGGAAGTACCACAGAGATGATGTCTGGGAGACGAAATCAGTGTCGTCACCCCATTTTTGATGACTCAGAGGAAGCCAATGGGAACCACGCAGATAATGGACCAGAACCAGAACCTGAGGAACTGGATTGGGATAGCTATAGCACCACACTGGAGCACAGAATAGCAGCTGTGGGTAAAGCATACAATAAAGTAAAGCATATATTAGGCTAATTCTGGATTATATATTGTGCTGGGAGAATTTTGGTTTTTTAAGATAACCGGTGTCTTCATAGCAGGAAAAGCACACAAGTTACTCTGTAGATATTTAAGTTCTCCAGTAAACACCACAAACTAAGGCAGGTAAATGTTAAAAATGCCAGTTGCCTGACATTTTATTCTTTATTTGTATATTTAATTATATTCCTTATTACTTATAATAATTATTTTATTGCTTATACCTCTGTGTCTCCTCCTGTGACATATGGTAAACTTGAGTTTAAGCTAAGTGAAGAATTTGAAACTAAGTATAAATAGTAAAAAAAAAAGTAATAGTGGCATATGTTCTCTTATAGTCTAGCAGTTGTGAATTACCAGGACAATTTTGTAGTTTTTGGCTTTTGGCTGTAGTTGGCTTTTGAGACTGTGTATGAAGTGGTAGAAAAGGTAAGAGATATTAGCAGCTCTTATAAATGAATTTTTGGGGCTTTTTTGCACCTTAAATAACGCAGTAAATATAGACAAGAAAGCATGTAGAAGTTAAAGTTATCAAAAGTATAAACTGTTTGTTTTTTTTAAGTGACAGTCGTTGTGAAATGCTTAGATAGTATAAAAATATTAGCAGTAGTTCTAATAGCAATGCTAGCTAAAACGCCACTGCTGAGTTATAGCTAGCATAGCAGGACAAGCTTTAAATACTATTTCGTTTCAAAGGTAAACAAGGTATAACACTTATCAAATGTTGTTCTTTACAGAATTTTACATCTATATATATATATAAACACCCAGCACGCCCCTGCAGGCGGTTTATCCTTCAAGCTCGGGTCCTCTACCAGAGGCCTGGGAGCTTGAGGGTCCTGCGCAGTATCTTAGCTGTTCCCAGGACTGCGCTCTTCTGGACAGAGATCTCCGATGTTATTCCTGGGATCTGCTGGAGCCACTCGCCTAGCTTGGGAGTCACCGCACCTAGTGCTCCGATTACCACGGGGACCACCGTTACCTTCACCCTCCACATCCTCTCGAGCTCTTCTCTGAGCCCTTGGTATTTCTCCAGCTTCTCATGTTCCTTCTTCCTGATATTGCTGTCATTTGGAACCGCTACATCGATCACTACGGCCGTCTTCTTCTGTTTGTCTACCACCACTATGTCCGGTTGGTTAGCCACCACCATTTTGTCCATCTGTATCTGGAAGTCCCACAGGATCTTAGCTCGGTCATTCTCCACCACCCTTGGGGGCATCTCCCATTTTGACCTCGGGACTTCCAGGTTATACTCGGCACAGATGATCCTGTACACTATGCCGGCCACTTGGTTATGGCGTTCCATGTATGCCTTGCCTGCTAGCATCTTGCACCCTGCTGTTATGTGCTGGATTGTCTCTGGGGCATCTTTACACAGCCTGCACCTGGGGGTCTTGCCTGGTGTGATAGACCCCAGCCTCTATGGATCTTGTACTCAGAGCTTGTTCTTGTGCTGCCATGATTAGTGCCTCTGTGCTGTCTTTCAGTCCAGCTTTGTCCAGCCACTGGTAGGATTTCTGGATATCAGCCACCTCCTCTATCTGCCGGTGGTACATACCGTGCAGGGGCCTGTCCTTCCATGATGGTTCCTCGTCTCCCTCCTCTTTCTTGGGTTTCTGCTGCCTGAGGTATTCACTGAGCACTCGGTCAGTTGGGGCCATCTTCCCAATGTATTCTTGGATGTTCGTTGTCTCATCCTGGACTGTGGTGCTGACACTCAGCAGTCCCCGGCCCCCTTCCTTCCGCTTAGCGTACAGCCTCAGGGTGCTGGACTTGGGATGAAACCCTCCATGCATGGTAAGGAGCTTTCTTGTCTTTATGTCAGTGGCTTCTATCTCCTCCTTTGGCCAGCCTATTACCCCAGCAGGGTACCTGATCACGGGCAGGGCGTACGTGTTGATGGCCTGGATCTTGTTCTTACCATTTAGCTGACTCCTCAGGACTTGCCTGACCCTCTGCAGGTACTTGGTGGTTGCAGCTTTTCTAGCGGCCTCTTCATGGTTCCCATTTGCCTGCGGGATCCCCAGGTACTTGTAACTGTCCTCTATGTCTGCAATGTTGCCTTCTGGTAGTTCAATCCCCTCAGTTCTGACTACCTTCCCTCGCTTTGTTACCATCCGACTACACTTCTCCAGTCCGAACGACATTCCAATGTCATTGCTGTATAGCCTGGTAGTGTGGATCAGTGAATCGATGTCTCGTTCACTCTTGGCATACAGCTTGATGTCATCCATGTACAGGAGGTGGCTGACAACTGCTCCGTTCCGTAGTCGGTATCCGTAGCCAGTCTTGTTAATGATCTCACTGAGGGGGTTCAGGCCTATGCAGAACAGCAGTGGGGACAGAGCATCTCCTTGGTAGATCCCGCACTTGATGGCAACTTGTGCTATGGGCTTGGAGTTGGCCTCTAGTGTTGTGCGCCACATCCCCATTGAGTTCCTGATGAAGGCTCTTAGGGTCCCATTGATCTTGTACAATTCTAGGCATTCCAGTATCCAGCTGTGGGGCATTGAGTCATAGGCCTTCTTGTAATCAATCCAGGCAGTGCACAGGTTGGTCAGTCTGGTCTTGCAGTCTCGGCTGACTGTTCTGTCTACCAGTAGCTGGTGTTTTGCGCCTCTGGTATTCTTGCCAATTCCTCTCTGTGTCCCGCTCATGTATTGACCCATGTGCCTGTTCATCTTAGCCGATATGATACCTGACAGGAGCTTCCATGTGGTACTGAGGCAGGTTATTGGTCGGTAGTTGGAGGGGACCGGTCCCTTCTTGGGGTCCTTGGGGATCAGGACTGTATATATATATATATATATATATATATATATATATATATATATATATATATATTCGGAGCACTAGGTGCGGTGACTCCCAAGCTAGGCGAGTGGCTCCAGCAGATCCCGGGAATAACATCGGAGGTCTCTGTCCAGAAGAGCGCAGTCCTGGGAACAGCTAAGATACTGCGCAGGACCCTCAAGCTCCCAGGCCTCTGGTAGAGGACCCGATATATATATATATATATATATATATATATATATATATATATATATATATATATATATATATATATATATATATTAGGGGTGCAACGATACTCGTATGGATATTGAACCGTTTGATACAGTGCTTCGGTTTGGTACGCATATGTATCGAACAATACAAATTTTTAATTTATTTGATCAACTTTCCTTCTGACGATGCTGTCTGTGTTGAGCGCTCAGTGAACCTCCCCCACCCTCATTCAGATGTGGCGTTTGGAGCTATTTTGGTTTTCATGTGACGTATGACCCTGAAGGTAAGCGCGTCATGGACAAAAGTAAAACAGTATGTTGGATGTGCCACGCAATGCTCAATTACATTGGTGGGAACTAGTGTGTTAGCGCAGTTAGCTCGTTAACGTGTTGGCCGTCCAGGCACGGGGCGGTAGCTCGTTAACTTGCCGTGTTGTGGCGTTAACGTCATTTCAACGAGATTAACGCTGACAACACTAGTGGGAACACAACGAATATGACTGCACATTTACTCCGACATCATCCTAGTGCAAAGACAAGTGGAAGCAGACAAAAACAACAAGCACACATGCTACAAACTTTACCCGAGTCATTTAGACAGCCGTTAGCACATGATTCTCCTTATGGGGACCTGATATGTTTAATATGCTGCTGAGAATATAGCCCAGAAGAAGCGGATAGTATAGCTTTTATTTTGGTAAGAGCCATTTCTCTGTAATAAACTCTCTTTTCCAAAGATGAGTGATTCCTCGATCAGATATATTTATTTTTTTATTACTTTGTTGTTTCAGCAACATTAAATTTAAAAACTGTACTTTTGAGTTAAAATATATATTTATAATTTTAATAAATGAGAAATTAAAAAGGCATGAACATTTTTTTTTTGTATCGAAAAAATATCGAACCGTGACACCAAAGAATCGAACCGAATCGTGAATTTTGTGTATCGTTGCACCCCTAATATATATATATATGTGCAACGATACACAAAATTCACGGTTCGGTTCGATTCTTTGGTGTCACGGTTCGATATTTTTTCGATACAAAAAAAAATGTTCATGCCTTTTTAATTTCTCATTTATTAAAATTATAAATATATATTTTAACTCAAAAGTACAGTTTTTAAATTTAACCCTAACCCTTGTGCCTGTTTTTTATTTTGACAGCGAATGCGCACCTGTGGACCACTTATGTGCACCCCTGGTTATTTAGCTCATCATATCCAGCCACAGAAATTATTTTGTCCATGAAACCATAAAGCTGCACTTTCTTTTTACCTTATAGTCTGATTTTTATCATAACTTTTCCGTTTTGTGGTAAGCTTTTCTTTGGCTGTCACTTCTTCACCCTGACCTGTCTTATTTGGCTCAGCAGAACTAAAATATATATCCTGCTGCTTTTACACAGGCACTCACATAACGCTCAGCAATTCTCTGCGCGATCAACCTCTCATATGTTTAAGCTTGCTGCGGGAGATTTCACTTGTCATGTTTGCATAGTAAGCTAACGATTAATAAGACGATGTCAGAGGAATTGGTGCACAAATTATCATCACTCACCAATCAGTGCTGTCGCTCTCTATACACAGTTCGCGTGATTGCAAAGTGAAAGCAAAAAACAAGCGCAAATTCAAACGCGATTTCAATATGTCACATATTGACAGTGGCTCACCCATGCCAATGACATAATTACCCAGCTACATTTCCGAAAGAATGCAAAAGTATTGACATATATTTTTCCTTCCTACAATAGCCCAACGGGCAGGGAAGAGATAGATTTTGGTAGCCCGACTGGAAAAATCGCTAGCCCCAGGACGTCGGGCTAGCGATTTTGCGAGCCCTGTATCTGATTGAGGAATCACTCATCTTGGGCTATATTCTCAGCAGCATATTAAACATATCAGGTCCCCATAAGGAGAATCATGTGCTAACGGCTGTCCAAATGACTCGGGTAAAGTTTGTAGCATGCATGCTTGTTGTTTTTGTCTGCTTCCACTTGTCTTTGCACTAGGATGATGTAAATGTGCAGTCATATTCGTTGTGTTCCCACTAGTGCTTTCAGGTTAATCTCGTTGAAATGACCTTAACGCCACAACACAGCAAATCTCCGTTAACGAGCTACCCCTGATCGCCCCGTGCGTGGGGCTAGACGGCCAACACGTTAACGAGCTAACTGCGCTAACACACTAGTTCCCACCCATGTAATTAAGCATTAAGCATTGCGTGGCACATCCAACATACTGTTTTACTTTAGTCCATGACGCGCTTACCTTCAGGGTCATACGTCACATGAAAACCAAAATAATTCCAAACACCAGATCTGAATGAGGGTGGGAGGTTCAATTTGCCATGTTGCAAGGAGAGCTTAACTTCTGTCTCGCTAGCTTGCCCTGCGCTCTTCCTTCTGATGATGCTGTCTGTGTTGAGCGCTCAGTGGATCTGCGCTCGACAGTGCAGCCTAGGCGGAGTAGTCGAACGCAGATTCACTGAGCGCTCAACACAGACAGCATCGTCAGAAGGAAAGTTGATAAAATAAATTACAAATTTTGTATTGTTCGATACATATGCGTACTGAACCGAAAGCACTGTATCGAACGGTTCAATATCGATACGAATATCGTTGCACCCCTAATATATATATTAAAATACATCATTGTAAGACAAGGATGTGTGTTTTATCATGGGGATTCTAGCTGGGCCTACCCTAGTTAGCTAAAAGCAACAGAAAAATGGATAGCGAAGATTAAAATTTAAACGGGTAGATAACTGATAATAACAGGTTGAAGGATGTAGCCTGTGAGGAACCAGCTATGAAGGACAGTATCGATGCCGTCTTGTTCCAGTAGCCCACTTCTCATCAGGGTGTCCTGGTTCCTCAACACCCGACATGGACCTTGTTAATCCGGGTAGGCTTGATTTAGTATAGGGGTTCTAGCTTAGGACCCTTACTGGATAGAGAAACCCGGGGCAGGAATCGGAGCCCTAGGTGCAGTGACTCCCAAGCTAGGTGAGTAGCTTTAGCAGATCCCAGGAACAACATCCAAGATCTCTATCCAGAAGAACACAATCCTAGGAACAGCTAAGATACAGCACAGGACCCTCAAGCTCCCAGGCCTCTGGTAGAGGACCTGAGCTTGAAAGATTGATGGCCCGCAGGGGCAAGAGGGGAATTTATATATACTTTTATAGTTTACAATGTATCGCAAAACAGTTTCTTTTGGTTTAAGAATTCAGTCTCCAGCACAACAGTATCTGATGGATGTTTGTACAATGCCAATGTTTTGTTTTGTTTTTACTGGTTTTAGCTTAAAGAAGGCCATTGATATTAAGCTCCCTTTTATAATTACATCTTAATTACAGTCCATTAAAAGACAATGGAATCACACTCATGATCTATTAACTTAAGGGATAATGTCAATTTAAGAGACTGCTACATAAATTTCTAATGTAGAAAATGCCAGTGCATTATGAAACCCACTGTATCAAAAGATTTTTACAGAATTATAAGTACAGGTAGGACAAGCTATTGTATATTAATTACTGGTTGACTGAACAACCTCCTTCCTGCAGTTCTGTGTATTGCATATCTCACTATAGAAAAATGTATGTGCAAATTTGTTTGCACATACCCTTTGTGTTAAATAGGCTTGTATTCCATTCATACCTGGTAATACCTGTTTAGTAGTGACGAGGTAAAAGGGTTAAAGGTGCAAACAGCTTTGCACAGAAACTTGTGCGAGGAACTTAAAAAAAAGCACGGAAAGTCCTCCAACCAAGTACTTTTATGGAAATAAATGCAGATGGAAATGTGGTTGCTTGATCATTTCACAAATGCCCAGATATCTGGGTATGCTATTTGCTCATTTCTAAATGCCTTGCCCATGATGACTGGCCTATAAGAAAGTAACTGTAACAAAAGCAAAGCTCTCATAATATGGCCCTTTCACTACTGTTATGGATGGCAACTGATTAAATGATCTGGTGTTTGGTAGAACTTGCTTATCTGGTTGGTAATACACGTGACCATGTTACTTCTTAGCAGGACTATATTAAGGCAAGTGCACACTGACAGAGAGACGGTTCTTTGTGAAAGAGGATAAATTTCATCCTGTGGTAAGATTATCTTTGCATGAACGTCTTGAGGTTTGCTTCAGCTTCTTTAATTCAGCAAATCCCTTTATATTACATGTTTATCCTTAGCCTTTTACTAACAGTGTCAGCTTTTTCTTACCTTATCTTGCCCTTCTTTAAACTCCAGCGACACTGAGTTTGACAAAACTATTATGTTGCTGCATAAAAGATCTTTTACAACTAGATTAGAAGTTGGTACAAGGTCTGAGGACTGTGCAAAAAACAGTAAAACTGGACAAAAATTATTATTCGTAGCATATCTGGCACAAAATGAAATCCAGCCAATGCAATAATCTCCATAATACAGATCTACAGATTCATTCAGTTGAAAAGTAAGTGATTTAACTCTTAACCCCCAGGAGCAGGAGAGTGCCCAGGTATCTGAGCATCGCTGTGCCCAACTGGAGAAGGCAAGGCGTGAGCTGGAGCAGCAGCTGGAGGAGGAGGAGGTCTGCTCAGTCCAGCTGGCCCTTCACAGAGACAGGCTGGAGGCCGAGTGCAGCAGCCTCAGACGAGACCTGGAAGAGCTGGAGAGCGCTCTGACTGTAGCTGAAGAGGATAAACAGGTAGGGCATTTTTGGATCTTCGTGATATGATAATCTCTGGAACAAGGATTTTTGCGCAGAAAGAGAAGGACTGATTTGTAATATGGAAGGAGCATTTAGGAAGACGACAGATTGGCAGATGAAGGTACAGTTGTCATCCAGCTCTTTAATTTAAAACAAGCAGTAGCCAGGCAAGAAAACTAACAGACTGCAAGAAGCACTGAAGCCAGTGGATTTTGGCAAGTGGGAGGTGGATGGCTGGTGGTACACTTAATATGGTAACAGGCTGACTAAGTTAGACAGGTTAGCCAATCATAAAAGTAACAAAGTGAGGAAATAATATTGCCAGAAATGCACAAAGTCACTGATTACTAAATAAAGCATGGTATAACTTCAAACCATGACAAGGTTATAGTTTCAAAAAGTAACACTAGGGCAGGGGTGGGCAATCTCAGTCCACGAGGGCCGGTGTCCCTGCAGGTTTTAGATCTCACCCTGGGTCAACACACCTGAATCACATGATGAGTTCGTTACCAGGCCTCTGGAGAACTTCAGAACTTCTAATTTAGCCATTTAAATCAGCTGTGTTGGTTCGAGGACACATCTAAAACCTGCAGGGACACCGGCCCTCGTGGACTGAGATTGCCCACCCCTGCACTAGGGCCATATGTCTGTCTGTGTAGGATCTCAGTTGTCCAGGTCATGGTAGTCTCAGGAGCTGGAAAAGTCTGGTTTTAAGAACTGAAGAAGCTTCTTGGACTCTAAAAAGTGCAGTCGCCTTCTTTTCAAATACAAGGACCATCACTTTTCCAAAATATTAAATCTGAATGTAATTTGTTTGAAGTAATTAGCATTAAGTAGCATAGTGTTGACTGGTGGAACATTGAGCACCAGTACTGAAGAACCAGTCTGAAAAATAAAAACCAGAAAGCATAAAAAATGGAACTGAAACCCAAACAATGCGCATAGGTTCTGTTTTCAGTGAACATTTTTTCATCCATTATTATCTGTTTTAGAGGGATTCAGACATCTGTTCAATCCCTGACTCTGAACGGTTATGAAATGTTGATCATATTGTAGTTTGTCACAGTATTACCTGTTTCTATCCAGATCTCAGGTAAAACATCTTCCCACCAAGAGTGCTTGCACTCTTTTAGTTTTTTTTGTTTTTCCACGCTTTGCAGAAGCACGGTCTTCTCTGTGCAGAAACTAACAAGAAAGGGCTGTTCTGACACCTCCGTTACAGCCCCTGCCCCCCCAAACCCTTTTATCTATTTCACTGAGGTGTATTAAAGGATTAGGATCCTATCTTTGTTCAGGAATGCTGCAAAAATGTGTTGCGCTCACAACACTGTGCGTGACAGTGAATTAAGATTTCTCTGGGTAGCAAAGCAGTGCTGAGTTGGAAATTTACTCTGAAGAATTTGATCTGCTCCATGATGTTATAAACTTGATCCTCTAGTTATATGATGATTTTTTTTTGCTGAGTGGCCTCCCGTGTGGCAAAGATACAGTAAGAGGGAAATGTCAGGGGGCTCAGAGAAGAGAACAAGACCAGACTGGTTTGATGGCGCAAAGCTTTGAAAAAGAAAATGATGAGACCTCCTCTGATGCCACAATAATCTTTTAGCTGGACAAGATGTGAGAAGAAAGTTTTGACTCACCTGTTCACTCTGAAATTTGTTGAAAAACATGTTAGTGTCCACGTACCGCAGTCTGCTGCCTCGCCTTGTTTTGCACATTTTTAACTCTCACCTTTCTCTCTAAGAGAAGAGAAAGCTTTGATGTCTACTAGAAAGAGGGATCGTGACATCTGTTTCTGTCATGATAGGAGACAATTGTTTGATGGTGTGGCTGCAGTCACAGGCTACAGACTCAAACTGCTGTATTCACAAGCAATCATGGTTACATGCCCAAGCAAACAGCGGTAGCTACAGATGGAGGGGTTTTAGCCGAGTTAGATAAGAACAAAATCTATGTATAGATAGTTTAGCTTGGTCATTTTTTGAATGAATAAAATATTATCTGATGTACAAAGTGGCAGATGTTAAAAATTGCTATTAAGTTACAACCTGTGTCTGTTTTCATAGCTGTCACACAGTGAGGTAAGGACGCTGTCAGAGCAGCTTTTTCAGAGGGACGAGGTGGTGCAGAAGCTGCAGAAGGAAAAGGAACATCTGGTGGAGCTCAGCCAGGTATGCTGTTAAGTGTATGATACTGATATACATACATACCTGGGCTAATGTCTATTAATAGCTAAGCTCCATAAAAACTAGAGTTTACATTTTCCATAATGCAAGTAAACTGCTTTTCTTTTTTTGGCCTCATAAATGCCCTCATGCCTAATATCTCTCCAAATCCACTCCTTTCATTTATAACATAGATTGGAAATCACAGCCAAGCAGAGACAAGGTTTATTTTGGTCATTTTTAGAGGACTTTATGGGTAATGATGGATACCTTAACCCGTTGCAACACTGTTAATTTCCCAAAACTGATAAACTCCTCCAAAGCAACAGGGTTAGGGTTTGCACTATGCAACTGTTTTCACCCACTGAGTTGTATGAGAGATTAAAGGTGCTCTATGAAGGTTTCTTATTGCCCTAGAAGACATGTTTACATTCACTTTTGTTTACTTTGGCGTGTGGTTAGTGGCTCGGCTGCAGGGGAGGGGTGGAGCAGCGGGTTCAGGGTGTGGTTGCAGGGGAGGCTGACACACACCTGAGCTCCATCATCTTGTCATGGATCCCCAGTAAAAGATGTGCTGGGACATGAGGTGGGAGGTGTGTGTGCTACAAGCAGGGCAGCTGAAAAGTTGACCAGTGAAAAACACAGAGCAAATAAAAACGTGTGCGACTGCAAACGCTGTTGGTGTCAGGGCAGTTATTTCCACATTTACGAACTCTGATTATGTGTTCCTTTATTTTAGAAAATGCGTCGGACGTCATAAAACATTAACAAGATTGTTTAAAAAATATATATATTGTCTGCAGCTTAGATCACTGAAAATGACGACTCAACACCTCTTGTGTTCAGAAAGTGGTTAGGGTAGTCAGAAGGTAGTATGATATAAGATATTTTAATTTTCACCATTAATGAAAATCTTCCTACCAACCAAACATTCCTCTTGGTCATATTATGATTCTGTCATATAACAAACTTGTGATATTTTCGATTTTATCTTCATCATATACTCAGTAATTATCCCAGATATCCCAGAATACTTGTGGGGATAGGTTAATTGGATAATCCAAATTGCCACTAGGTGTGAATGTGCAAGTGAATGTGAGAGCGAATGGTTGTCTGTCCCTGTGTGTTGGCCCTGCGACGGACTGGCGACCTGTCCAGGGTGTACCCCGCCTCTCGCCCCATGACAGCTGGGATAGGCTCCAGCGCCCCCCGCAACCCTGGAAAGGATAAGCGGAAGCGAATGGATGGATGGATGGATGGATCCCAGAATACCTGAGTATTGGTAACACACAATAAATTACCACGTAAATTAACATCAACAGAAGCACACACAAGAAGTACAGCACTGTTCTTCAATCTTGGTCATATACGTGAGTCACCTGCACAGAAGGTTCTGACTTGCATCTGTAATCTTTACGTGTACAACACACGGACATAGATATCTAAATAAGTCACAGACTGATAAAATCCTAGAATTTCCCACCAAATTAGAGAGCAAACTTTGTGGGTGGACTGTACTACACAGCAAGCAATATTATTTGTCAGGTAATTACGTTAAAATATTAAAAGATGTACCAACAGGACAAACATGTTTAACCAATCCAATTCATGTCCACAAAGTCTAGTTCACTAGTGGAAATCAAGCCTAGCCAACAGCATTTGGTTAATATTAATCCAGGCAGCCACGCCCCAGACTTTAAGTCTTAACAAAATGCAAACAGATTTCATTAACCGTGGAGCTATTTTATTAGAGATTAAAAATATTATTTGTACTAGGCTGTAAACATGTTATTCTTATGACTTGTTGGAAATCAATGGAGGTGATTCACTTTTACAGCCAGCCTCAAGTGGCCATTACAGGCACATAAGCGTTTGCTCCTTTTTTCAGCCCATTCCCTATAACAGACCATAAATTTGTACATGAATAGATTATCTTTTGCACTTGAAGCAAATGTTCTAATCTCAAAGTATGCATGTGCACACTTTAAAAAATATCTGTTTGCATTTTATTGGAAAACATTTAAATTGTAAATTTAACTCTTCCGTTCCCAAAAGCATACAGGGACGCTCCACTGGCTGTTTGACTCAGAATAAAACATGAGTTTAGGAAAAGGGAACCATATGGCCTGTGGACAGAAGTGGCACTCGTGATAAATGTGCTCTTCACCAGACACAGACCAGTCTCCTAGAAAAAAGAGAGAGATCTGAAGAATTCGCAGCCCTCAACAACCTCATCTTCCTTATGACAGCTATAAGAGGCCCTGTTTGCTAATTCCTCCCAGATGGTTCAACCAGTAGTAGCAGTCTTCTTCATTGTGTAATCCATGTGGACAATTTAGCATTAGTCCTCATTATGTTCCTACTGTTTGCTGAACATGTCTCAGATTATGGATTTGGCCTGGAATACAAGGAGACGCCTGTGGGGAAAAAAATTTAACACAAAGTGCACGCACTGCTGTTTGAGTGAGTTTAGTCTTCCTGTTTGATGCTTCGCTGCTTTTGCTCCCTGTTGATGAAAAGACAGATAAAAAACATCTCATCTATCAGATCAAACTGAAGATGCCTTCTGACATTTTCATGGTTAAGCAAATAAATCATATTTTTCCAAAGTACAAATATGGCAGACAGATGGACATGAGACAGACATTTAAGGACACATGTGCAGTCCAGGCTCAGACATCTTTTATCACCCTCAACAGCAGGCCATTGAGGACCTGCAGAGTGAAGAGGAGAAAGTCAACCTGCTGACCAAAGAGAAAACCAAGTTGCAGATGCACACTGAAGATGTATGTACATATTTTTCAAATTGAACATATAGTTCATACCATATGCACTACACAAATGTTTTTTTTTCAATATTTATTCTGTAATTTCTGAAATTTGCAATGTGTTATAGCTCGGTGCGCTTTTAAATTAAAATGCAGGACTGTTCCGTCTAATTCCTCCCAAACGTGCTCACCTGGGTGTAATTGTAGGCTGTAGGGTGCTCTTCCATGATGTAAAGCTGGTTAATGTCTTTGAATGTTTTGAGTCATTGTCTTACTGCAGGATGGAGGCCTGGCCAACCACGTTGGCTTTTAAACTGCTAAAATTCCAACAGCTAGTCTATAATTTTGAACGTCTGTCATTTGTGTTAGATGGAAAACTATAAACTCACTGGAAAGTGTGTTAGGTAAATGTTGCGTTTAAGCCTTTTTTTAACCTTCAAAATTGCTCTCATGGTTCGTGGCACATGGTTGCTGCAGATTGGTCAGCATCCATGATGCAAATCTGCCACCGATTACTCAGGAACTCAGGAGATCAAAGTGTGCAGAGAAAAGATACACGACAACCACCAACCTGAACTGTTGATACAAAGCAGGATGAACCCATCCTTTCCTGTTGTTTGTGACACATTCAGACCTTCCCATCCAAATGTATCAGCAGAAGTCAAGTAGTGTTATTTTATAAAATCTATAATATGTTAATAACTGATAAAACAATCTCTGATTTTATGAGACTACCTAGAGCTTTAACTGTAGACTCCATGATAACTTATTTTAAATATAAGGTCAGTGCCATTACACTGGTGTAACATTTGCATCCAACAGAAACACACATGTTGTACACATTAAAAGTAATAATAAGCTTATGAACCAACTATTCAACAGCAAAGTGAGGAATGGAAACTCATGGTTATTTAACTTAATTGTAACCCTGCTAGCCAATACAGCTTGGCAAAAATAGGGAAACACTGAAACATGTAATTTCACACATAAAAATTGTCAAATATAATAAATGGTGATTATAAAATATATTAAAAAGTGGCACAAAGCATTTCACTATTTGCAATTACAGTCAAGAAATATTGTTAAACCCTATTATTGAATCCGTCCTGTAACTTTCCTCATGCTCAGTTGGAGTACCAGCTGGAACAGGAGCGCCATCAGCGTGCTGAGCTAGAGAAGAGCAGGAGGAGGCTGGAGGGGGACAGCAGATCTTCGCAGGACAGTCTGGGAGAGATGGAGAAGATGAGGAATGGTCTGGAAGACCTCATTAAAAGGTCAGTCAAAGACGCGCTGCATGCTTATAGCAAACTTTTCAGAGTAGATGGGAAAAAAGCCAGTCAGCCAAAGTACTGTTTGCTCCTGACACCAACAATTTGAGGCTAAAGCTACATTCTGTTAAATTCTGTTGGGAAATTTTGCAGAGATTTTCATAGTTTCACAGAGACCTTCAATGATCTTCCGACGGTTTTTCTAGTGTAACATTGAGGCTTGCATCTCAGGGGTCTGCTGAATCATCCTGCTAATTACTGAGTAGACTGTCTGTAAAGACTCTGTTGATTCCCAGAAGATAAATCCAAATGTCCTTGTTGATGCCCTTGTTTTATTGCTAGCATTACCAGAGGGTCAAAATGTTGGCTTTTATATCAAAATTGATTAACATAGACATTTAGACAATGAAAAATCCAAATAATTAACAGTTTTCTTAAAAACCAAAGTGAGACTGATATGTTTAACTGTTGTATTACTTAAGAAAATATGGTACAGATGTCCACAATTTCACCAGGACCTATAATTTTATTTCGGTCCACCGTCATGAAAAGATTTTGAATCAGTTTTCTTAATTTATGCTAATTAGCGTTAGCATATTTGTAATGCTCTGTGAGATTTTCTGTTTACTGTATCGGTTCCAAAATATTAAAAAGTTTGCAGTGTGCCTAATGGCTGAAGGTTTTTTGTACTATAATACAGTACTATATATTGTACTATAATACTGTGGTTGAAAATTATACAGGATATTGTTGTTATTTCCAGTTTGATCCTATTTGTAGCTTGTGGCATCACTACCTCATGGTCACAGTGGCTAAACATTGTGTGTCTGTCCTGTGGGTGGGGGGATAATAGTCATTCAGAATGTTTTGAGCTATACAATAAAGCATATTTGTTCAAAGAAGAAGACACACAGGTAGTATTTCAGGTCAAATTTCTAACTTGAGAAGCCTGGAGACTCTTGGAAAACATTAGCTTTCCAAAAGCATTTATAGCATTAGCAATTTTAAAGCTCCAGCCTATAAAAGTCAGTACAACCGATATTTTATTCTTTGAGACTGTCTATAAGGTTAAATCAGTCAAAATGTGGTTAAAGAAAGGACATAAACAGGGCACCATTATTAACATAAACATTTTCACAAACTGTGCATTTATCACAGCCATCATGATGGGTGGTAAACCCGTCTCTAAAACATTTATATCAGCCTATCTAAGCCAGAAAACATGGGGTGAATTTTTTCCCCCCATTTAGACTATATGCAAGTGACAACAGGTCTTATCTACTGTTGTCTTTTAATAGTCCGCTGAACTGGAACCTAAGCTGATCTGATCTACTATCCCAAGGGAGAGAGAGCCTGATGGACTTTGGAAAATTTCTCACTCTTGTGTGCGTCTTATATCCTGAGGCAGCAGAGCTTGGACTCTATGAGACTACATTGTCCTTTTGCATCTCTTTTAAGGTGTATGTACCTCTAGGGATTCACTAAGATCCCAGCATGTTGTTATCTGCCCAGTGATATAAAAACAGATGTAATCATTCACTGTACCCTACCCTGCAGCAACAATCTACTGAAGGCAAAAGCCTCCTGTCAGAAAACAAAAGTACAGTGCGCACCTACAATATTGTCTCCGTAACAAAGTTAAAACTTGTTCTCTTTGGCACTAATAGTTGCGTGACCTTCTTGAACATTAACAAAGTGAGTGACTCACTTGTTGCTAAGATACTATGGTATTCAAACAGTACTTATTGTCAGAGGCTATTAAATCTGCCACTCAGTATAACTTTAGTCCAGTGAAGCGTCACAGACATGGTGTTGCGATGTTGTCAAAGCACATACATATACAGAGCCTCACGTGCACGCCTCACAAATGTGACCAGAAGGTCAGATGGAGCAACCTTTTCATGTGACTGATACTCCTTTGTATTTGCTGTTGATCATTGCGGCTTTTAAAGCACTATTTTTTGTGCCGTGTGAAACACATTAAAGAACATTGTTGTAATGTGTGTAATGTTTATATTTATCAGTAGTTCAGTTTTAGATGTCCAGCCCCAACATCCCGCGGTACCATGATGCTGCCTATATTAGCTAGTCCGGGGGTTTTTAAATGCAAGAGAAACTGTAGGGTTTTGGGAAACAGTTTTTGTGTTTTCTGAGCAAAAAACTTCCTCTATGCTCATTAATTTCAATTATATATTCCTTTTCTCATTAAAGGAAGGAGCTGGAGATCAGCAGTACCAGCTCCAAACTAGAAGAAGAGGAGGCACTTAACTTTGGACTGCAGAGGAAGACCAAGGAGCTACAGGTAAGTTTGCATTTTGTTGTTTGTCTTCTGTCATTTAACACTAGCAGTCTTGTTTAACAATCGCATGGTGAGACCTAGCAGAAAGAAAAAAGAAATCACACACCCAAACAGGTGATATTAAATTTCACTTCAATTTTATTTATATTTATACAGCGCCAAATCACAACAAAAGTCACCTCAAGGCGCTTTATATTGTAAGGTAGAGCCTACAATAATACATAGAGAGAAAAACCCAACAATCATATGACCCCCTATGAGCAAGCACTTTGGCGACAGTGGGAAGGAAAAACTCCCTTTTAACAGGAAGAAACATCTGGCAGAACCAGGCTCAGGGAGGGGCGGGGCCATCTGCTGCGACTTGTTGGGGTGAGAGAAGGAAGACAGGATAAAGACATGCTGTGGAAGAGAGACAGAGGTTAATAACAAGTATGATTCAATGCAGAGAGGTCTATTAACACATAGTGAGTGAGAAAGGTGACTGAAGAAGAAACACTCAGTGCATCATGGGAATCCCCCAGCAGCCTATGCCTATTGCAGCATAACTCAGGGTCACCTGATCCAGATATAAAGTGGTAGTTATCCATAGAAATCTAAATCGTTTCCTGCACCAGGCTGTAAATATGCTTTTCAGTGTTGTAAGGTTGAGCATTTTAAAATGGGAGTCTAGTTGGACTGACTCATTTTGGAGTCTCAAGTGTTCATTAGCAAAAATGCAGTTTTTGGCACTTCTGCTTTGACCTCTCTGCGTGCTTACAGTTTAGTTCACTCAGATTCAAATAAACCAAGTTATTGTCATACTTGACTCTATGATATAGTATTATATAATATAACTGTTTGTGCTTTTTTTACATGACCAAGAAAAGCAGTCATGTCTTTGTTTGACCACTTAATGTTTTAGAAAGCAAAACAGTTCAAACAGATAAGTGTACAAATGTAAACCAGACTTTTGTGGCCCATGGCCTTACCCTTTGGTAATGATTTCTTGTTATCATCAATCATTTTTTAGCTATTTCCCAGAACAGGCTGAATGTGTCAGCTCAATGTGATGTTTCCACATTTGTTGCCAATGTCACTGACTCTGTCGCTCTTTCTGCTAGTAGCTGCAGCGCTGTTTACTGTCCATCACCTGTGGCTCACACACTTAAAAGCATCTGTTTACTCTTGCAAAAAGCTTTTTTCACTAATGTCACGTTCGAGATAAAATACTGGTAGCTAAGTTGACTGAGCTCACGCACAGCACTGCTAAAAGACATGTGGAGTCCTTCCTTATTGGTTTGATAGTCATCAGCCAGACAACGGGGCTGGTATGCTCCTTTCCTCTGCAGCCTTTAATTTCTGAAAATGTTCAAAGAGCTATAAAGAACTTTACGTGTCCTGTGTGCATATCGCGATGACATTTGCTCAACACTGAGCTGGCTTATCAAGTTAGTCATTACTAATCAACACAGAAAAGGTCTTTTAGTTACCTTTATAATAGTAACTGTAATATTTAGTTGAAGTGGCTGTGGCTTTTGTAGACTGGCTTCTAAGTGGAGTTAAAAGCTGTTAAAACTGTTGTTTTACAAAGACAAACAGTGAGCCCAACTGTAGGTTACAACACGGCAGAAAAAAGGCATTCCTGTCTTTTAGCAAAGCTGCTGGGCTCTGCTCTGTGATTGGAGCAGTCGCTTCAAGCTCCAAGCATGTCAGGAAATGGTTAGAACGCACTGGCTACATCAAAAATGAACTGGGTAGGTCAAGTTTATTATGATCTACCAGCATGCATTGACTTTTTGACTTCCAGGTGAATAATTGCAAAGCATTATTACTGTTATAGATATTATATATGGCAGTAGATATTTACTATCAGCTGACAGTGACTCAGGGTTCAGAATGTTTTTACATCCTCTCATCTAGGCAAAGTGGATTAAATGCTAAAAAAAAACACCTTAATGTGTCTTATCACTAAATTTCACTTGAAGTATCAAAATTAAAAATACTTAGTCTGTGAGAAAATGTTATTGCTATATGATTCAAGACGCTGTTTGTGAGTCTGGAGTTATGTGACCTGATTTCCCTGAGACAGGAGGATCTAGTGATGGTCTCCAGAGGTGGCAGCCAATGATTTTCTGGGCAGTGTTAATTACTCTTTGTACAGCCCTCCTGTTGTCACTCGTGACCCTGCCTACCACAACACCCAGCCAGTAGGAGAGGACGCTCTCCACTGAGGAACAATAGAAGACCAGAAGCAGCTGGGACGGGGGCGCCGAGTCTAACTGATTGTTACCGGTTGGCGAGGAAATCTTTGATCCAGGACCAGGTGGCATGTGAAGGTGGTCCAGTCTTTTGCTGAGGATGTCTGGGATTATTTTGTTGAATGCTGAGCTGTAGTCCATGAAGAGCATCCTTACGTTGCGCTCTGTAAAGGGTGATGGTGATGGCATCCTCCTTGGACCGATTTGCTCTTTAAGGAAACTGGTAGGGGTCGAGGGAGGAGGGCAGACAGTGTCTGATGTGCTGAGGCACTATCTGTTTGAGACACTTCACGACTACAGACGTGAGGGAGAGATAAAGGATGATAAAGAGTGAAAACTGTAAATCCCATCCACGACCACAAGTGCATCCACACTGCATATGCACATGAAGACACAGCAAAGTCATTTGGAAGTTTTGATGCTTTACGAGAAACAAAGATTTGTCGTTTAACTTTCAAAATAGTATTTCTCAACAAAAGATAGTGCTGCACCTCATTTGTCTGTCGATGACAGGAAAAGGACTTCTTTGGAAGTAAATCTTTCTCACTGCAGACATTTGGGCTTGTTACAGCAGGAGAAACACAGGTGCAGCTTGTAAGATTATCGATGGATTTAAATATTCCAGTAAAACATGCCAGCCGACATACCAGTGCATCGTCAGGGAAACACCTGAATGCAAGTTGTAATTAATGGGGTTAGCTACACATTGTGTTTATTAAGTCAGCATGGGATAGTTCAATTGTGGAAATGTTTTTTAAACTTCTTTTCGAAATCTTTGCATGTAAGGTCAAAAGTAGCATCACTAACTGGTGATACTTTCAAAGTGTTGTTGAGTTGAGAGTGAGCTTGTTCATTGTTCCGTCTGAGCAACTATAGGAAGTACAAAACCAAAACTATTTCACTGCATGCTAAACTGTGAGAAGAAATATTCCTTGTATTTATGTTAGGTTGTCTTGTGAAAATGTTGTTTAGTGATTGCTGCAGAAATTAGTCCTAAAACCACAAAATAAATTGGCCCTTTTTTTAATTCCAGCATTCCTTGTCCCAGAATCAAGGTTTGTTGAATGGGTTTTGATTTAGAGGCTTTAAATAATATGGTCTGTAGTTAAGACAAGCTTTACATATTTTGTTCTATAGGAACAAAAGCAAAAACTCTGCTTAATATGTTTATACAGAAATGGAAAAAATATCAAATGACCACCTATCATCCTTGTTCTGTAGCTCCATACAAGATCTTGCCCCTTATGAGGTGGACAATTATGATAAAGGTGGTGAATTGGCACTAAACTACATGGGAGGAGTTGTTAATAATAGGAAGACAGTTGGAACTGTAGTCACCATAAACATCATTAATAACAGGCTACATCATAATAGGTTGAAATCTTGCAGCACCTGCAAAATCCCACTCCTCAAGAACGCACATGTACAAGAGCATCCTGAGTTTGTCAGTGAACATCTAAAGGATTCTGGGCCTGGGAGAAGGTGCTATAGACAGATAAATACTAAATCAAGGTCTTTGGCATCAACTCAACCCACTGTGTTTGGAGGAAGAGATAATATGACCCAAAGAACATCATCCAAATATGTCAAGCATGGAATTGGAAATATTATGCTTTGGGGATGTTTTTCTGCTAGGTGTAAAGGACGACTTCACCGCAGTGAGGGGCCAATGAAAGCGGCCTTTTCTCAGCCAGAAAACCGAAGATGTGTCGTGTATGATCTTCCAGACCCAAATGACCCAAAACATACCCTGATGATGACGTTGGAGTAGCCTAACCTGTCTCTGACCTTAAGGATCACTTATTACCTAAAAACTTTAAGCGAATGCGTATATTTGAACCTGTATATATACTTCTGACACTGTGTGGATAGGAGAAAATTCAACATAAATTCAAACCGGTGCATCCAGTCATTGCATGTCTAATGCTGGAAAAAGAACAGTACAAATAAATGATGAAGTGTATATCACATCTTTTGTACTAGATTACTGCTGTGTATTGGCTAGGCATGATAAAGTTAGCAGCTTATCATAGGCTTGGCTTATGTGTCTTTGGGTTTAGAAAAAACAGCAACATTTTTCAGTATTCAGTATTACTTTCAGCAGAGTTCAACATCTGGAGAGATGCAAAGTTTCATGGAGCTTTCAGTGACTGTGACCGGTATATGGACTAAAACCACAGCGGCCTTTGAGTGCAACAAAAAAGTGCCACCTAGCTGAACCTCAAATTTCAACAAAGCTAAAGGAAAAAGCCATCCCAGTTATTAACGAGTAATCTTTGGTGAGGCAGTGGAAAATCACCACAGCAGTGAGTGTATGCTGTACCACTAAAGACGGTGCAATTTAACTAACCATCTTTAGGATTGCAGGCACTGCAGAAGCAAGGGTAGAATAGCTATTTATTGTATGCATTATATTCTCTGCCAATCTGGGAAGTATATACTAATGTTTTTCTGCTGAATCTTTCAATGGCATGCAGATAAAATCAAACAAGTCTGAGAGCTTTTATCTGTGTCACTGGTGCATGTTGCAGATAATGTGTTTTGTCTGTGTCTGTCGTTGAGTTCAGAGAGAGAGGGAGTGTTATGGGTTCAGGTGGTGCTTCTCTGTTCTGCCAGTGCCTCTGGGAGCCTGATGTTTCCTCCAGAGTTTGTCAGTAGTGAAAATAAAGAGCTCCTTTGTATCTAATTTGAGGAGTGAAGGACAATCCATGTGTCTTTGAGGGTGCACATGTTTTCGCATGTAGCTTTGGCATCCTCTCACAATGAAGCTATTATATGTAAACTTCTCCTACTGATGAAGATGCAGGTGGACAGGCCAGCCAGCTGGACATCACCCACTGAGGTCTTTCCTTTGACGTAAAGGTTGCATGAATATGTCCACGCAAGCTGCTGCAGAATCAAAGAGACCGCTTTGTCTGTCGCTGATGATGAAGCCGCCTCTCCCTCTGTAGTATGCTGTAATTCAAAGCAGTTGGCCTAAAGAGAAAGCAGCCATGCAGCCTTGATTTCTTACAGCAAACGAATCCTTTTTAGCGGTTTTATTTAGGGTTGTAAAACAGTTTACACTCAGTCACAATCTGAGGGTTATCACAATCTGTGAAGATAAAGCTCATTTTGTTTTTTTGTTTGGTCTGTAGCAGATGTTTTGCTGAAGGTGTTAGATCAGATTGGGCCACAGCGGTGATGAGAGTCTCGTATCCAGATTACGCTATTCAAGCTTTCTATTGTCCTCTCCCTTATAGCTACATATGCTTGTCTTGTGTATAATATGGGATCATGTGCTTTTGTGTCATTTGAAACATAAAGCATAGAATTAATCTTAGTTTAAACTGATAATACAGTCACAATACCATATTTTGTTTGTAGACTGATCACTACTGGAAAAACTTTTTTTTTCTTGTTTTTCACCCCTAAAAACACGAGCTGTGTGTACTAAGAGTCATTGTTTTGCTAAGAGGTGTTTCTCAGACAAATGTTCTGACAAATGAGCACCTGTGGTGAACAAGTCTTACTTCATACTTAGTACCAATAATTTCATCTATATAAATATAAAAAAAATAGTTGGGACCATGTCTGTGGAAGCTGTCAGCAACAAAAACTTTACATCTGGAGTCTGTAGGTGGCCATCTGGTGGCATTTAAAACAACAAAGCATGCAGATTCCTGCACCATTGCCGTGATCTGAATTATGCTAGTGTGTGCGAACAGTATAGATGCAGGGAAGGCCTCCCAGTTGTTCAGCTGGGGGGGTCTCACAGGATATCACTGCCCACACTGCTGACCATCCCCTCTGACACAAGCATGGAGACATCTGCACTGAGGCCACATCTGATTGCAATTTATAGACAATTATTATGGTTTCAGATTGAAGAGGGGAAAAAGAAAACCGTAAGCACAAGCAATTATGGAGATCAAACCCTGCAACCATTCTCAGCAACAACGGCCTAATTCTGTTGTTTCCAGCTCACTGCTTCAAGACTAGAGACATCTTTGTGGGTTCATTTAGAATCAGTGTCTAAATTCTTCCTGCTACACATAAGTGGCCAGAATTACCCATGTAGCCTGGCTCAGACTTCTTAACACTCTTGGTGCACGATGTGTTTTTTACAATTGTATTAGAGCCACAATGTTTACTTTGAGGGTGGTTTGAGGCTCTGGAAAAGAGGAATTTAACAAGAAACATATTTGAGTGGGGAACTGTCAGTGAGAGAAAAAGAGGCTGTGCATGCATAAGGGGGTGTGGACAGTAAAGTGCCGGAGGGGATCGACAGTGAAGGTATGTGTGTGTGTTTGTGTGTGTGCGCACGTGCGTGTCTCAGTGTGTGGGACACTCAGTCAGTCATTCAGTTGGGCTGCTGCTGCCTCACGATGGCTGTTCTCTCTGCAGAGGCGCTCCGCTGGCACGTGAGTTTTTATTTCTGTGTTTCTGTTTAAACGTATCAAAAATGATAAAAGGAATAAGTTAATGTCTCTGTGTGTTGCTTTTAGGCATTTAAAAATATTCTGTTGTTTATAATCAAAGATGGCACAAGTACAGGCGAGCTCTCCAGCTCTTGTCTGTACACATAGTTTACAGTACGTTTGTTATGGTTTGTTGTTTGGGGAGATTTAGGCGCTGTGGCTTTCACCACTTGAGTGAAGTGGAGGTGTTGTTGCTGTGAGTGGCCCTGGGCCATCCGGCATGTCAGACACACTTCCTGACATTGAAACATAGATACAAATTGTAGATAACCAAGAGCATGACTCATCTTGGTAGAGTGCAGCCGTGCTGGGAAGCGAGCAATAAATTTTTATTAGTAATAAAAAAAAGCAGTTTTGGCATGACATAAGTGGAACAGAAATCATCTGTGGATGATATACTTCTGTTAGATCATTCTGATGATTTTGAACAGAATCCAGTAAAATGAAATTCAAAGCGCAGTAGGTGTACACAGAGGGTTCTACGTATACTGTAAGCTGTGGTAGAGGGAGTTGAGTTTTCACTAAGAATAACAGTTTGTATCATGGGAGGATCTTTACCATAATAAAATGTATATAAGTGTGTAAAATGCCTTGAGGCAACTGTTGTTGTGATTTGGTGCTATATAAATAAAAGTGAAATGCCTTAAGAGGACACTGGATATTTAAAGTTCAAAAGCAAGAGTGTTTAAAAAAATGACACTATGTTTTCTATACATTATAACATATTTAGTGCCGTTAGCCTGTGCTGAGGTCTCATGAACCTGCTGGGAAGCTCATATTTTATTACACAAGTGTGTGTCCTGTCCTTCTTTTCCCCGTTGACCTCCAAACCGGATGGAGCAGATAGTAAAATGGGAGTTTTCCTTCCCACTGTTACCAAATTCATGCTCATAAGGAATTGTTTGATGACTGGGATTTTCCCTGTAATATTTTGGAGTCTTGACCTTAGAATATAAAACGCCTTGAGGTGCTTCTGCAACTGATTTGAATTGAATTGCATGTAAAAATCAAACGTATCATACAATTCACATTCGCATTTTACATGCAATCATAATAATTTCTCCTCATATCTAAATGTAAACTTACATGAAGTGATTGAACAGAGTAGATATTCCTGTTTTTGTTCCAGGATTGTTTACGCTGCATAATTAAATATATTGTTGTATGCTGTGCGTGTTATGGGCTCACACAGAGCAACAAACAGTTATGGCCACATTTATGTCAATGGTTAATTTAGATGTCTTTGGACTGTGGGAGGAAGCTGGAGTACAGTGAGTATGCTGACACAGGAACAACATGCAAAATCTGCCCAATATATTTTGGATATTCATTTATTATTTTTATGTTGGGCCAATAAGCTCATTATTTTATTTAAACCCAAAGTTAGATAGATAGATAGATAGATAGATAGATAGATAGATAGATAGATAGATAGATAGATAGATAGATAGATAGATAGATAGATAGATAGATAGATAGATAGATAGATAGATAAAACCCTCAGAGGAAGTGCATAACATGAAGAACTTGAAGGGTGGTTGTTTGGCACTGATCGACATCCTTTACCTGTACCAACTATGCACGATTGTCATTGTTCTACATAACTATGGCTTTATAAACACAGTATCCTCTGCGATGAAATAGCTGAGTGTTCCAAAAATAACTGAAAATGCTTTGGTTATTTTCAGAGGTGGTCAGTTCACTGTAAAAAATAGTGCTGTTGTTGGTTTGCAAGGAATAAAGAATGTGTTGTGTAAAGGAAGCGGTTGTGCGTATTTAAAGATTTGTGTCATCATTAAAATGTTTTAAAAACCCTTGAATTGAGATGATGAAAGCAAGTTGTCACTTAGAATATGTGCAGTCATTTATTTAAATACTGTATATTCAAGGTAGATGCATAGTTGTAATTCATGCATGTGCATTAAATGGTACATATTAGTCATTCTTCATGATGATAACATGCTTGCATGGGAAGTAATTCAGCTGCTGTTGAAAAAGGTTACAAACCTGGAAGGAATAAACCTTACAAAATATATAGAAGACACCTGAAAATGATTTTGACTGATAAAATACTGCATGTATTCAGACCTTGATGCATCACTTACTTCAGGCCAGGACCATAAAACCAAGAGCAAAAAAACCCCAAAACAGAACAAAAAGAAAAAACACAACAAAAATTCTTCGAATTTCATGGAAATGGCAGTGCTGATGATTTTTGGTCTCGGTGACCGGACATAGCACACCCAGCCTGGGGTCAAAATACAGATAATGACGGTGCCTACAGGACATTCTTGCTCTAAATTGCTACCTGAGGAAAAAAGCCAGAGGCGTGCCAAATCCCTACAGAAAGTGGAGTGTATGAGAAGGACTCACCACACACACAAGTGCTGCCTTGAAATAGCAAACAGTCTGTGGAGATGACGCCCCGTTTGTTCTCTGTCAAAATTACACATGTACTGTGAAAGCAGAGGAAATATCCTCCCCATGTTTTATTGTATTTTATTAGTTCAATGTTCAGGCCTGTGGTACTGAAAGCAAATTAAGTTTTCTTGTTTTGGTTTTTTTTAAGTATGCACCTTCATCCATTTCAATATCTCTCATTAGGCTCGCATCGAAGAGCTGGAGGAGGAGCTGGAAGCAGAGCGGACCATGAGAGCCAAGGTACTGTATATCTACACACTTATGAGGAACTGTGTGGCTTCGCTCTTTAGTGCACATGAAACAAAGAGCAGTTAAATCTGTCTGTCCTTCTTTGGGGTAGATAAGAGGAAACCAGATAACTTGGTTCGGCTCTAATGTTCAGGCCTGTGGTGCTTAGAGCAGTTTAAAGATTGAAGGGGACGGTAAATGAAGAAGAACAGACGAAAACAGTGCTGATGTGCTGGCAGCTGGTGGGGTACATGTGCTGGTGCTGTGCCTCTGGTCACCCCAAACTATCTGCACCTGTGATAATAAAAGGGGGTTGAAGAGACCTTGTGTTTCTGATTAACATAGAGGGAACCCATAGGCGTGGAGGGAGCCCCGACGTCCTTTTTCCTTTTTCTTACTTTCCCAGATCGTTCTCTGTCTTCACACACCCATATCAGTGCACCTTCTGTAAGCCCTTTGCCTTGCTCCTTCAAGTGGAAGAATAGGGCATTTTTTCCATCCATCTTACATTTGACTGCAATAAAGTGTCCCAGATGACTTCTTTCTAATGCATAACTTTTTCAAAGGAGCATGTCTTTGTCATAAAAAGCTGATACCAAGGTGGCTCTTTAAGTGCTTGCTGTTTCAAACAAGGACTTATAGTATGTGTGTGCTAGCATGACTTAAGAGCGTACTGTAGTTACAATAGGAAAAGGCAGAAATGCAAAGGCATATATTTCACTCCAAGTGGCAAATAGAGTGACAGCTGGCCTGAGGGTGTGTTTTTCCCCACTCTGGGTGGTATTCTTAATGGTGCTAGCTGAGACCCCTTCAGCCTCTGAAGCTGCAGAGCAGCGAAGAGGCAGGCAGAGACATGCAAGGTCTTTATCTGTTCCTCCGTCTTCAGAGCAGCTCAAATACAGCATACCTTTGCTGCAGACAGGTTCGCTATTGTTAGGCTCTGCTCCTCGGGTCGCACTGGGGAGATAGAATTATGAGATAGAGGCTGACAGACAGCACTGTTTTTTCTAGGATCCTCTCCCGTCTGGAATGCCATGCGGTTTTACACACACACGCTCACACGCACACACGCTCACACACACTATATAATTGTAAAGTAGCATGTTCTCACACACCCAGGAACACACATAGAACACACATAGTATGCATAGCATTCAGTCAGTACACAAACACTTTATCTTTAAACTGGAAATCACACATTCTCCATAGAAACATGAACAACAAAAATTAACTTAAAAGTCAGGTGACTACGTAAAATATGAAAGGGGTTATTTATATAAGCTCTCGGTTATTATCCAGTTTAAGCTTAAGGGTTGTCAAATTGTTTAGCTCCTTTGCTTTTTATCTTGGGTTTACTAAGTGAATCCTTATAGTTTTGATGCAGTCAGGAATTAAAACAGATAAGTATGACCTCACAATTATCTTGCCAAAGACGCAACTTTAAATTGTTTTTCACTGTTTTTGCTTGCGACAGATGCCCAAAGTAGCCAATTCATGGAAACCAACAAGCTACCAATGTCTTGATAGCTAATATTGCTAATTTATTAGCAATTAAAGTCAAATTTATTCAGTATAATTTTTTTAATATCTGATGCAGATGATGTCCTAATGTGAAAAGTAAAGCTGCTTCACGATTTAGGAGCAGCAAGCTGCAAATGGCACTTGATGCTATGCTTAAAACCCCCAACATTGCCATTCTTTACTAAGTCTAATATTCTGCTCTGGGTACTCGCTAACATTTTTATGAGATTAGATCTGATCAGATCAGAGCCAAAATAATAAATTTGCTTGGTTCTTGTCCCAGATGTTCCCTCGCCCCAGCAGATATTGTGCCTCACCCTATCCATAACATCATCCTCTATCACACCAAACCTCTGCATATCCTCCTTCACTATATCCATATATCCTTTGGCCAGTATACCCACAATCCCACTCTGCACATCTAAAAACAACCTCAACCTTGTCTCCCTTAACTTTGTCTCCAAACTGCTCAACCTGAGCTGTTCTTCTGACGTACTCATTTCTCATCTTGTTCACTCTTAATGAAATTCTGAACATCTTCAGCTCTGCCTAGCCTCACCCTCTCCAAACATGTCAAACTGTCCATCATAATTGGAACCAAGAAGGAGCTCACCAGTTCTTTGATATAATCTTACCTCCATCTTTCACTCCTACCATACATATGTCCTGCACCACCCTAACATACTTCTGTGCCATGCAGTCTCACAGCTCCTCTCTTGGCACCCAATCATATGCTGTCTCAGAATCCACAAAGACAAAGACACCTTTTCAGTACTTCTCCATGAACACTCTGAAAGCAAGCATCACACCTGTAGTGCTCTTTCGGGGCATGAAGCCATACTTCTGCTCCCTGATAGCCACACCTCTATTTAAGCTAGGTTCAACGACTCTTTCCCATGGCTTCATGGTATTTCTCATCAATTCTATCCCTCTGTAGTGACTCCAGCTCTGAACATTACCCTTGTTCTTGACAGACTGAACTGGATGGCTTTCCCTGAGATTTAAAAATTTTATTAATGGCATTTACATATTTGCTGCATAGTGAATGTACTTATACAAGCTTCTGGACAGTCAATAGCTATTGTTTCCTCTTTTTGGGATAGCACATAATACTGCTGCCATGTAACAAAAAGCTTTGTGGTGGCAGATTAGAAATCACGAAGGCAAAAGTTTCACACAAACATTTTTAAAAGGCAATTTTTCTACCCTTCAGTTTCAATCAAATCCCAACATTGAACATTGCTGACCTTTTTGGTTGGATTGTGTACACCAACCATTGAATTACTTGAAATACCGGACACGTGAACTACAGCCCTGAACTTTTCGAGACATTAGCCAACAGATGGGTGTGTGAAAATTAAGATCTCTCTCACTTTCTGATCGCACATTGGCCAGCTGTCTTGTACATGTGATATCCAATAGGTGAACAAGTAGACATCATGTGACTGAAATCAAGCAAAGTGGACCGAATGTTACATCTCTGAGGAAAAAATAAGTCATGCTAAACTGTCACTAGCAGGACTTTCATTGAAATTATCTCATTTTTGTGTTAAATTGGTCCCTGCTTGTAACTTACAGAAGATGATGGACATGTTGTATTGTATAAAGACTAACTTTGGAGAAAGCATTTGGCTCTTTCAATATATACTTACTTACTATAGCATATATACTTCTCTAATATAGAAAAAGAGACGTATACAAACCTGTATCTTTTTGGACAATAAGATTAAAACCATTGAAGTAAACATACATTTAGTTTTGTTTCAGGATAGAACATCTCACCAGTCAGGGGTTTAGTTTTTGGAGACTGAGTAAATGAACACTAGAAATCACTTATGCAAACACAAATTGGCTGACTGCACAGAGACACACTCCTACTCCTTCATGCTCTTGTGCAAATGAAGATAAATCTCCTATCTCTAACAGAAGGGCACTTTAGGAGCACTGACCTTCCATTCCACCTCCGCACAGTGTTAACCCTCGACACAGAGCCAGCGTGTGGACACAAAGGGCTGGGTTCAGGTGTGAGCTGTTTTTTGAAGATTTAGCTGGAGGAGTAGGGGGTGGAAGAGGAGGCCCCCAGTGAGAGTCATCTATTTTCTGGCTGAAGTGTGCTGACGGCCGTGCCTCATTGCTTCCATCAGGGGGCCCCGAGACTCCAGCTTTTGTGGATCAGTCTCAACATCTACGGCTGTCGTTAAACTGGCTGTAAAACACGTGTATAAAAAATAAGTGTTTTTAATTACAGAGCACCAGTTGTTGTTTGTGCATATAATGGACCAGTATAATAAACTCATTCCATGTGTGCTGTTCCATGTTTGAGCATGAGATGAGGGTATGTACTGTCAAGTTTTATTACACTGTGTATAAACTGATATATAATCAGTTTTCTTCTACTAGTGGAGCCGAGATTTTGTTTGTAGAAGGTAATCATAGTTAATGATCTTATGTGTCTCATAATGTCAGAACATATCTATTCTTAGTACTTTATTTATATTATATCAAAAGCGTTACCAGAAATCTAGAAAAAGTTTGGGTATATATGCTGATACTGCTTCAGTAAGCCACTTAAGTTTTAGGACTTTTTGGTTGTTGTCAATCCATCCATCTTCTGTTTATCTAGTGCTGGGGGCTGCTACCTAAGTATATAAGCCAAAACGTCCCTGTCCTTAGCCACCATCTTTAGCTTATCCAGGGGGAACCAAGGTATTCCCACGCCAGCCAAGAGATGTAATCTCTCCAGCGTGTCCTGGGTTTGCCCTGAGGCCTTCGCCTGGTGGGTGATGCCTGAACCACCTCAGATAGCTTCTTTCTACTCAGAGCCCCTCTGAATAACTGAAATCCTCACCCTGTCTGTAAGAGAGACACCAGCCACCTGTCAGAGAAAGCTCATTTCTGGTGCAGGTATCCACAATCTCTAAATCAACAGCTTCACTTTTACGCTCGTCCACATCACTGCAGCTGTGGCCCCAATCCGTCTGTCCGTCTCCCGCTCGCTCTTAAACAACGACCTGAGATACTTGAACTCCATCACTTGGAGCAGCAATTTGTCCCTGACCCAGAGAGGACGCTACAACCTTTTCCAGCTGAGGACAGAGGCCTCAGACATAGAGATGCAGATTCTCATTCATTTCATTAAGTCCTTCAGTTTTCAGTAGATATAATGAGAAAGGAGTCACTGGTAGTGAAAGGAGTCACTGGTAGTGAAAGGAGTCACTGGTAGTGAAAGGAGTCACTGGTAGTGAAAGGAGTCACTGGTAGTGAAAGGAGTCACTGGGAGGTAACTGTAGAGTTTCTCTGGTTTGAATCCTTTAGCTTCCTTTTGCCCATTATTGTTGCTTTATTACTGATGAGTGGTTCAAACCAAAACATAGTAAGAAGAAGGGTGAATCAAAGTGAGGTAAAGAGCCAAAGTATAAAGAGTATAAAGGGTTTCAGATCCCATAATGATGGACAGATAGCCACGGCACTTTTACCCAGAAATCTTTGCATTATATTGTATAATTTTGTTGTCTGATATCCTTCTTTAACTGTTGTGTTCATGGCAGGTGGAGAAGCAGAGAGCTGATCTCACCAGAGAACTGGATGATCTCACAGATCGCCTTGAAGAAGCAGGAGGAGTCACCGCCTCACAGGTAAACTACCAGTACACAAACACTGTCGAGCTGCACACTTCTGGACTACATAATTTCCCTCATAAATAATCCCAGATTGTACAGCTAAATGCCCTAGAAAATCTAACTTAAATGACTTCCTGTGTGTGTCGAACAGATGGAGGTGAACAAGAAGCGAGATGCAGAGCTGCAGCGCCTGAGACGAGACTTGGAGGAGTCCTCTGCCCAGTCTGAAGCTCAGGCTGTGTCTCTGAGGAAGCGGCACAGCGACGCCGTCACAGAGCTCACAGAGCAGTGTGAAGCTCTGCAGAGGACCAGAGCCAAACTGGATAAGGAGAAGCAGAACCTGAGGATGGAGGTGGATGACCTAGCTGCTTCACTGGACAGTTTACAGAAGGCCAAGGTCAGGATCTGAGATCACATGGACCTTATCTGTATTTTGAACAAGACAGCAACGTCACAGACTTTTGTGATGAGCGTGACCTAATGTGCTGTGATGTTACTGTGCCCCAGGCATCCTCTGACAGCCAGATGAAGAAGCTGGAGGAGCAGCTGTCTGAGGCCAACAGGAGAGGAGATGACCTGCAGAGGACGCTCACTGAGATCAGCGTGGCCAAGAACAGGCTCACAGGTAAAACAATGTTACACCTGTGGGACATGAGCAATTACAGAAAGTCATTCAGAAATCCCATTGTCCCATCCTGTCAGTGGCTGTGGCTCAGGCGTTAGAGCAGATCAGCTACTCACTGGAAGGTTAGTGGTTCGATCCCAGTCTGCATGCCTAATGTCCTTGAGCAAGGTACAAACCCAGTTGCAAGTTTTCTTAATCAGTTTCTTTCTGTCTTACAAGTAGGCAAAGCTTGATGCATATACTTTAAGGTTAAAGTGATCTTCTCCGGGATGTTACATGCAGCCTTAATTCACTAAAACTGGCTCCCAGTAGATTTTGTGCATGTAAAAATAATATATTTTGATGACAACTAGTTAACGATTGACACAAAAGACGGTGGTGGTATGAACTCATATTTCATATTCATATTTTAAGAATAAAAAAGATCCGTTGTTGGGAAAAAAGACTGTCAGTAATTTCTAAAAAATTTTTGAGTAATTCTTTCTTTTATATTTTGCCAACGACAAACCTGACTGACTAAGCCCTCCTGACCACTTGTCCTCAGGAGATTTGGGAAAAGATCTAAAAAGCAAACTATTTAGGCAGAAAACGAATGTGTTGTTAGGATAAGATCAAGTATGCATACGTACATTTTAATTACATTAAGTTTACCAAAGCAGGAAGGAAGGTCAATCAAAATTAGAGCAAATCCCAAATGAGAGTAAAGCACCAAAAAACTGCAGATGTGTCCTCTAATGCAACACGATCACATCTTTCATTTAAGACTCTGAGGACCTTGTCTCCAGGTTTTCTAGTGAAAATGTCTCCAAGAAGTCTCGCAGAGACACTGACATGGTGTCTATTTGACACAGCATTTTATGCTACACTAAGACATTACACAGCTCTTTTTGCATTTCTCCCATGTGAGCTCATAATAATATGAAATATTTTGTTTCAACCACTGAAATAAAATAAATGTAACTTCCTGGAAGATGTGTCTTTGCTTTGCCACCACGTTGCTATTCTATATGAACGTCTTAAACTGCATCTGCCTTTTGTAGCTAAATAATCCCATTGTTTGTGTATGGTGCCTGAATTCTGCTGCATGCTACAGTGCATCATTAACCGGTGCTCCTGTGTGTCCTGTCAGCTGATAATGCCGACGTGAGTCGACAGATGGAGGAGGCAGAGACCAGAGTGAGCCAGCTGACCCGATCCAAGACTCTCCTCCAGTCACAAGTGGAGGAGCTGAAAAAACAGCTTGATGAGGAGGTCAAGGTCTGTGTTTTGAACATAAAGCAAAAACACATACTTTTTGTCTGTTTTGCAGTTTAAAGTAGGCTTATTCAATAGAGTTAGTTACACAAACTTAGTATTTAAAACGTTTCTACTATTATAGCGTGTTCTGTGAATGTGGTTGCCTTTGTGAGGCTATTAGACTGATTGTTTTTGGTAAGATTTGGGAGAGAGTCTGGAGAGGTGGAGATGTGTGCTGGAGAGAAAGTCAGAAGAAGCAAGACAGAATCTATGTGCATGGGAATGAGAGCGAGGCAGGTGGGATGCTGGAGACACAAGTGCAGAGGTATTGTAGGTGGATGATTTTAAACACCTCGGGTCAACCATCCAAAGTAACAGGCAAGTGCACCTCTACTGTGCACAGGAGAGGTGAAGAAGAAACTGCAGACAGGATGAAGCAGGTGGAAATGAGTGTCAAGGTTGATTAATGGACAATCTTCGGATTTAGTCGGCCTGGTGAAAGGTAATGGGGAAGTGTGAGTGTGAGCCTCCTAGTCTAAGAAGAGTATTATGCATGCAATCATAGATGATCAGAATCAGAATCACCTTTATTCGGCTAAGTTTGTGTACACAAACAAGGAATTTGACACTGGTACACTTTACTCTCAGCATATGAAATGTTTCAAATATGCAATTTTAAATATGCAGTATATAGACATACAAATAGTGAGTGTAATCAAGAAGAGACAAAAAGATGGGCAGTACGAGTGAAGACTAACCGACACCTCTATGTCCCAAACGGATGTGTCATTTTATCAAAGCTTTGTACGTTAGTTCAGCTTTTATATTGTGCTTGTTCTCCAAACAGGTTAAAAAACCTTTTAACAACCATGAGTGAAGTGAGTCAGTGTGTTAGCACAGATTTGTGTTACATTTCTGGGCTTTACACTGTGCTCAAAGTGTGTCTCTTCGCTGGTGTTGCCAGTGTAAGCAGGGGGTCAGCAGCACTCTGAGCTCAGTGCGGCAGGACTGCGAGGTGCTGAGGGAGCAGCTGGAGGAGGAGCAGGAGAGCAAGCAGGAGATGCAGCGCCTCGTCTCCAAACTCAACAGTGAGGTGACGCACTGGAGGACCAAACACGAGGCCGACACCATCCAGCACGCAGACGAGCTAGAGGAGACCAAGTACGTGGTGTTGATACTGGCAGCTATCATCTTCATCTGACGAGATGTGATGCCTTGAATTGAGCCTGTAATGTGTCTCAGAAGTCCAAATCATACGTGTGTCACAGGAAGAAGCTGGCAAGCAGGCTTCAGGAGGCTGAGGAGGCCGTGGAGGCCACCCAGGCAAAATGTTCCTCACTGGAGAAAACCAAGCAGAGGCTGCAGGGAGAGGTGGAAGAGCTCTGTATGGACCTGGAGAAGGTAGACAGAGCGGCTCGTTATATACTCATTTATTTGATGCCTTGCCATAAAGCTTTGGTGTTATAGCAGTGTATGGTCCCTGCCTTAGGCCAGCAGCTGTGGGCAGGCTCTGGATAAGAAGCAGAGGGTCCTGGAAAAGCAGCTTGGAGACTGGAAAGAGAAGTGTGAGGAGCTGGTGGCCGAGGTAGAGGGCTGCCAGAAGGAGAGCAGGCAACATGCCAGCGAGCTCTTCAAACTCAAGACGGCTCATGAAGAGACTCTGGAGCAGCTAGAGGCTCTGCGCAGGGAGAACAAGGCCTACCAGGGTATGACGGCACACATGTGAGGGCTGAATGAACATACAGCTGCCTGTCTTGGATTGCCTCATATGCAACTTCTTCTTTGTCCCACAGAGGAGGTAGCAGACCTGACAGAGCAGCTGTCCGATGGAGGCAAGAGCGTGCATGAGCTCCAGAAAGCAAAAAAGAAAATTGAGATGGAGAAAGAAGAGCTCCAGGCCTCGCTGGAGGAATCTGAGGCCGCACTGGAGGTGAGTGCTTTATCAAGTCTAGATTTGCTCCAATATTTGAAGCTTGTCATTTGTAAATTGTGCGTTTCTTCTTCATTCCTCCCATTTTGCCAGGCTGAGGAGACCAAAGTGCTGAGGCTGCAGCTCGAGTTGTCTCAGGCGAAAGCAGACCTGGAGCGCCGACTACAGGAGAAGGAGGAAGAGGCGGAGGCTGCGAGGTACCTCAGCTTCCTCTCATCCTTCATGTTTCTCTGCATTCTGTTTTTCTCCACCATAATGTTTCTTTTTAAAGTTTGCAGATAATACACAGTTACACATGACACTGGAACAGGGTTTAGTCTATTTAAACTTTGGGTAACTTTCCCCCTTGATGTGGTTCGTTTGTGCAGAAGTGAACATGGTAATTGCACTCTAGTGCAAACCAAATAAGCCACACTGAGACCCTTTGAAAGAGGTGCTCGTGGTCTAGTCCAGCCAAATCTAGAGCAGCTGGTTTTTGGTAAGAGCCTTGATCCAGCCCAACTACCAGGTGTACGCTCCAAGTCCAAGTGGCTAACTCTGATGAGCATAATCATTAGCTTCTTAATTTGTTTACTTAAGTAAGCATCTAAATCTAGAACAGAACTTTTTCTCAAAGTTTTTATGAAAGCTAAAGATTCATGAACACAGAGGAGAATGAACAGAACCCTTAAGTGGCCATTAGAGCTCATTTTTGGCACTTATATGCCATCTTTATTTTGCTGTTTATCTAAGACAATGTTTTTCATCTTGTTCCCTCATGCCCAACGTTAGAAAAAGCCACCAGAGGGCGTTAGAATCCCTGCAGGCCAGTCTGGATGTAGAGGTGAAAGGGAAGTCGGAGGCACTGAAACTGAAGAAGAAACTGGAGGCTGACATCAATGAGCTGGAACTGCAGGTGGACCTGCTCACCAAGAGCAACACAGAGCTCAGCAAGAACAGCAAGAAGATGCAGCAACAGATCAAGGTCTGCTCACAACATTCGGCAAGTACAGTAAGTGTTTTCTACACCACCCTGCTCACAGAGCAAGTGTCTGTCACAGGAGCTGCAGGCTCAGCTGGAGGAGGAAGTGAGGAGCCACGAGGAGTGCAGGGAGGAGCAGGTGGCCATGGAGCGACGCTGCTCTCTGCTGGTCAGCGAGGGTGAGGGGACCCACGCGGCCCTGGAGAGCGCCGAGAGGGCCCGAAAGGCTCTGGAGATAGAACTGCAAGAGTCCGGGGAGAAATACAGCGATCTCAACAACCAGGTATTACACAGTGCCTCCGCTTCTGTTTCACTCATTCTAACCGGACCCACATACACTCACAGACTTCCTGATGTGTGTCCAGTTCCAGTCGGCTCTCAGCGGGAGGAGGAAGCTGGAGGTGGATCTCCAGACTGTGCAGCAAGAGCACGAGGAGCTCCAGGCCGAGATGAGAGGATGCACAGACAAAGCTAAGAAGGCCACCTGTGAGGTAAAACACATGAGATGACTCCATGTCGAAGCACACAGCAGATTAATACAGACGAGGTCGGTAACGCTGGAAACGGATGTTCTGTTCTGTCAGCTTGCACGAGTTGGGGAGGAGCTGCGTCTAGAGCAGGAGCACACGCTCCACCTGGAGAGAGTGAAGAAAGGACTGGAAGCCCAGATCAAAGAGATGAGCAGCAGACTGGAGGAAGCTGAGCAGATGGCTCTGAAAGGAGGAAAGAAGATCATCCAGAAGCTGGAGGGAAAGGTACACACAAACATGTCAGAATGCCTGAACTGTCGCTTCTTTTTAGCCTCACAATGTTGGAGCTGTGAAGCAACTGCTCTGGGATATGTGCAGTTACTTTAGCTAGTGTGGTCACGAGTATCCCTGCTGTAAGTGTCTGCACAGAAGAAGTACTTACCTGTTAGACTTATAAAGTAATTCAATGTGTAAAGTCGATTAATAATCAATACTGCTGTAGTTTAAATTTCTTCCAGAAGAAAATCTTGCTACAGGGCAGGCTTCATGAAAATGCTGCCTCCTGGAACTTATTTGAACCGTTACCCTAAAGTACATAAAATCATAAAAAGTCAGACCTGCAAGAAAATCCTCCTAAAAGTGATGTTTCTAAACCATTCTTTATTTTTACAATATAATAAGATGATATAAAAACTAATTATAGGATTAAGGATTTATATTTACATGCTAGTGGCTAGCCATTTGCACATGCCTTTGCATGTAGCACACTGGTATATGCAGAAATATGACAAAACAAAGTTATGAGCTGTATGTTATTGAGTATTGGTTGTCTGGCCTGCAGTACATTTCTGCTTTTATGGAACTTTTGACAAATAACAAATTGTAACAGAGTGTGTCTTCACTAAACACTCAGTGGATAAATATGACGCCTTCCTGCACACAATAGTAGATACTCTTTGCATGCAGGTGAAGGAGCTGGAGCTGGAGCTGGACTCTGAACAAAAGCGGCACGCTGAGACAGTGAAGACGCTGCGGAAGAACGAGCGTCGGCTGAAGGAACTGCTGTTCCAGTCGGAGGAGGACCAGAAGAACCAGCAGAGGATGCAGGAGCTGGTGGAGAGGCTGCAAAACAAGATGAAGGCCTACAAGAGACAAGTAGAGGAGGCCGTACATCACCTCATCCTCTTACTCTGAACACGTTTCCAAGCATGGTGTTTGTGGGCTTTTTAAAATAACTCACACTGCTGTCACTTCAGGAGGAACAAGCTAACATGAACCTGGCAAAGTACAGGAAGACCGTGCACGAGCTGGATGATGCCAAAGAGAGGGCGGACATTGCTGAATCAGCGCTCACCAAGATTAGGACCAAGAACAGAGGAAGCTTCGGCAAGGGATACTCCTCCGTAAGTATTCTCTGGAACAGTATATTATCAGGTGTATTACGCGGTTTATTAAATAATAACTCCATGTTAGCCTCTTCTACTAAGTACTTGTTCTGACTCTAAGGCCTGTGTCTGTTCTAACAGGGTTACAGCACTCCCAGGCCGAGTCCGGTCACCCAGTTCAGTGGGCTCGGAAGGCAGAGGAGAGAAGATCCTCAACGATGGCAAGGAGTCAGTCAGCTCCCTCATCCCAGCCTATCTCAACTCCCTCAAGAAGCTCATGATTGATTAGGAGCATGGCTTCAATTTCACCATCATCCCCCAGAAGTGAAGCATGGTACAGTATGAAGTTTGAAACCATGGGTGGAACCTGACTTTTTTTTGTGTATGCTGTACATTCCTGTTGAGTTTTCTACAATGTACTTGTGGCTTCCTCTCTGAGTGAAAGCTCATAGCCCTGACACATTCCAGCTTTATATCCCCTTTTTATCCATTTATACTGTAACATTTGTATGTAAAAACTAATAAATGTATTTCTAAGTGTTCCAGATTTCCAAATATCTAAAGAACAATCCTCAGGCTGATTCTCAGTCTGGAACACACCATTTTATATGAGATATTGTATTTGTTTAATACATAAAAAGCCAGACAAGACAAAGCATCAATAGTTACAAAATAAAGCTGGCACCCAGAAACTGCAGTTCCTCTAATGGCCACACGAGGCTGTTCAAAAAGCAAGTCAATCCACTACAGACTTCCAAATCAAAATGTGCAACTTTACTGTACTGACATATATACGGGGTGGCTGAGGCTATTCCAGATATTTGTGCTTTAGCAGATATCCTTCTCTTTCTGTAAACATGCAGAGTTTATGGATGCAGCTTGCTAATCAAGCCTGCTAGCATTAGTATTTACACTTCCTGATTTCTTCTTTTTTTTTTTTTTGCCTGTCACTTCCTGATTTCTTAGATTTTCAAATATTTGTCACACATGCATGTTTCAGATCAAACACACGTGGACAAAAGTAACTGAAGTAAACAGAAAATACAGTTTTTACATGATGATTTCATTTATTAAGGAAAAAAGTAAACAAAAGCACCGGGGGCTATGTGAAAAAGTAACTGCCCCTCAAACATAGTAACTGGTTTGAGGGGCAGTTACTTGGGATGGAGCGTTTTTCATACATTTCCAGGAAGGATGTTGTTCCTCTTAGTAAATAAGCTCATTATTTAAAATCTGCATTTTGTATTTATTCCGGCTCTCTTTTTCCGATGTGATCATCAGGAAACTACTGTTTGTAGTCAAGATTTCCTACATTTAAGCAAATGCATGACAACCTTTAAGATAAATAAGGTTCAAACTGGCTGCAGTATTTATTAAACCATACATGCGAGAGGCTACAGGGAAGTTTTTGAGTCCGTACATAAGTGGCGACTTAAATACAAAGCACTTTTTTTCATGATTAGTTTTTGCCTTATAAATGACTTCAGTCACTATCATAAAGTGCTGCTGGGGTGCTGTCAGCACATGGAGTAGTTTAGGCCATTAATGTCAGTGTATTTTCAGATTTCAAATGTATCTGTCTGAACTTTTCACTGACTAAACCTGTAACAAGACCTGACCAAATATGCTGTTGAATGTGAATATGTTTTTTTAAGGAAATAAAAGACCTTTTTTTCCCATTAACTCTGTTTTCTTGCTTTTTTTCTTCATTTTTTGGAAACAAACAAACCACAAAGCAACGCATTGAGACATGAGATACGTATTTCCATTTTATTAATGAAAAATGACAACTTTTAGCTGTTAATGTACAAAAACATCTCATTTGTCTCCTTTTAGCAGTCAAGCAGTACTAAGCAGTAATACTGGACAAGAACATTTGGTATGGCAGTTAGCTTCTGCAGTACGGTTACCAAATCCAACTGAAGCAAATGATTCATATTCCAAAACTCTATCATACTGTTAGAGATGTTTTCTTGTGTATAAAGCACTTGTATGTTTAATATATTATCAGTACCAAATATCTACCGTATGTTTTCTGTAAAAATCTATTTAATCTATTTTACATTCTTTCCACTACGATCCCCTTTCAGAGCAAATCACCTTAAAACATATTTACACATATATGTCACAGTTATGCTTCATGAACATAACCAAAAACAAGTCTGTAGCAACTTGTGTTTAGATGCCTTTGTATATGAACAGCAATTTACAGTAAAAGTTGATTAAAAATCATCTGAATGTAAAGTGCAACTGGCTGATTTAAAATTCTTATTAGAAATTTAAAAAAGGAGAAAATTAGATTTGTGAAGTGTTGCCAGATTTGGGATTTTAGTCCTCAGGAATTCACCGTTGGCTATTGCCCAACTCCTAAGTGTGATGATCAGTTACTGCCAGTCATAGTTTAGGAAATGCAGCTTGTTGGTGGCAGTCCCATAAAGCATCTGATTTCCCACCATTTATTAACTGTGTCTGAATCTTTAATGGGATTCATATCCCCTGCTTAAATTGTTTGTGTGTACAATAACAGAAGAGCCAAACTTTGAGGAACAGCACTTGGTGTGAAGTAAAATTTAGCTTGGCCTCATTAAATAAAGTCATTGTATGAAAAGAAGCCATCAGTTTCCGGTGGGTTTAGGTGGGAGGCTCGCATCGATTTTCCACAGAATGTGAGAGTCTGCAGATGTGGATCAACTGAACACTTGCGACAGCTGTGTTACAAAAGAGAAGCCTGCTTTTTTTTTTTTTACCATAGATTGAACCGAAGACCCACCATTAGAAAAAAAACTTTACCTTCAAACACCACTGCCATAATAAGCTACATTTTGTTTTTAATTAAAATTAGATCTAGCAACAGTAACTAAAGGGTGGAGTCTAGCAAAGTCACCATGTACACACTGGAGACATTAAAGTACTTCATTCTGCTACAAAGTAACAGAGCAACTCTTTTTTTCTGAATGCAGTTTGCTTAGCAGCATCTGTTAAATCATTGCATTTCTGGAGTATTAGCATTACACTTCTGCCTAACATAAAGCTATTCAACACTTACAACATGTTGGTGCTTCTTAAACATTTGCCTCACCTAAGCATCCTTTACTAAAGAATATACATAAAGTTCCCATTCACTCGGCACGAGTAACAGCTTGTATAACACAAAACTATGACAGGTCTCGTCATCCCTCAAAAAACTCCCTCAGACACTGATATCATTGTCAGCAGGGGGGCTGTCAGGACGTAAAGAATAGCTCAGCACAAACTGACCGTCCCTCAGTCTGTTAGGAATCACATACAGATCAGTGTGTGCATGCGTGGGAGGGGGAAGATCCCAGCACAGACTTCCTCTCCTCCGGTACGGAGCCTCGAGCTTGCTGTATCTGGGTGTGAGTTCATCAGATAGCGCCGATATCAGATCTCGATGTCCACTGGGCGAATTTCTCCAGTTTTATTCTCCCGTACCCACGTTTCTCTGTCTTTGGTTGGGTCCACACACTGCAGTAGCTGATCCACTGGCTCCATGGTCTGAAAGAACAAACAACAGCTGAAACGTCAAACAAGAAACTTTAGCCTCCTCTTCATGCTTCAGTCACTCAGAGAAAGTAGCTCTTTGCCTCCCTCTGCTGCTACTAGTGAGGTAACTATACAATCAGGCTATTAGACCCTAAGTAATAGAACAAGCCCAGCAGAGGCCCTAGCCCTGAACCCAGGTATAATTTATTTGGGAAGCACAGATCACAGCTGGTACTATATAAATGAGTCCACCTCTCATATGTGTTGTAACTCCCATATGAATGGGGCCACCCCACCTCTTGCCCTATGCTAGCTGGGATAGACCCTGAGTTGGATAAGTGGAAGAGAACAGATGGATGGATGGATGAATGAATGACGCCTTGGTGTATACTACCTGCTGCTTGCAAAAGACAGCAGACGTTGCACTTACACTTTGGTTGAACATGTCTGTCTCATGTCGAAGGGTGGTGTACTGGCAAAGATGCTGTCTGATCATCTCCACCCGCTCGACCTCCAGTCGTTCCAGCTCCTGAGAAAAAGATCAGTTTTAACAGCTGAGTCACAGAGAAGTTACCGAAACTCAGCATCAAGTGCAGTGAATTCGCAAAACTCATTTGGAAATTCACTATTAGGAAACTGAATGGAATGGATAAAAAGAAAAAAGAAAAAGTAATTTCAGATCAAACTAGCACACAATGAACCACAAAACCCTGAAATAGATGTAAAAATGCAAAAAAAAACCCAAAAAACTTATATGTTGGGTATTAAAGGGTAATTAAAGTTAATACCCAACATTAATACTAACTTGTACCACAGGATGGTGTAATAAGTGACCATAATCTTTATTTAACCAGGCAAGTCATTAAGGGGCCTGTTTTTAATCACAATGGAGGCCTGGAAGTGGGCAAAAAAAGTTTTTATATATAGCTAAAAGCACTGTATGAATGCTTGTGTGAATAAGACTTTGTAGTACAGAGCACTTTGCTCACATTGAGTTGAAAGGCACTATGGAAGCACGAGTGACATATTAGAAATAACCAATGGTAACATTTTACCCTTGGTGGTGAAAGTTTCAGTTAATTCTTCAGAAGGTAAATCCAAAAAGCACCTTTAAAGGTGTACAGACATTTTAAGTAATTGCAAAATATTACTTTGACTAAATTATGCTAACACATGTAAAACTCATGCATTCTTACCAGGCTTGTGGTGACCATCTCTTCAAACCATTTGGACTGCGACTGATTATAAAGGTCGACACAGCGCATCAGATCATCGCCTGCCACGAAGAAGAAAAACAAGCCAATTAGCAACTTTTATTTTGAAAATCTATGCACTAATTTGGCTACAACAGCAAAAAACAAAACCCCAAAACAAAGCAAGCCCAAGCACTTCATTTGGTTCTAGCATTTTACATCCAGCAGATGGTGTTGCAACCAAGATATTCCCTCACAGCTGGGGCGTTCGAACAAAACATGCATGTGCAGGGATGTTTTCTCATTACTCAGCTGATACAATTATTCCAGAGCAGCACAGATAATCTAGACTGATAGAAGATTTCATTATGATACCATGAGCAATGAGAAAAGGAAAGGTCTAATCTGTTATTTCATTAATGTGTCTGCCTGCATCCAGCTGACAACAAAACAAACACTAATCATGTAGAAGATTAGATCAGAGAGGAAATGATGCTGAGTATTCTGTTCTTCATTCTTCTTCAGTCAACATGCGCTCATATATGTGCTACATTATGTTCACATTATTCCTATTTCTCTCCAATGTGGCTGCTAAATATCTCACAGCCGAGCTAGTGTGGAGTAATATTTCTTACAGTATAATCAGTAGTACAGTGAAAGCGGAAGGGGGTGGATGGTTTCTTGGGGCAGACCTGGCCTATAAGCGTAGTCCACAAATTTTCAATTGGGATAGCATCAAAGCTTTGGGAAGACCACTCCAGAAACTTAACTTGCTTCACTTAACATGATTGACGTGTGCTTAGTTTGATTTTCCAGTTGGACCATCCAACTGTTTCAACCATGCAGTAATTCATTTAAGGTGAAGCTGAAGAATTTGGAACTAGTTCTTTATAAATCACAGGTACTTTATGCAATATATCAGTATAGAGAACATTTATATCCAAATCTGGTTTATAGGTCTTCCCTCTTGCCTGGACTCATATTTACCCACCTAGATTGTTTTAGTATGAACCCAGTTATGAGTTAAGGCTTTAGTTTAGTTTAGAAGACATAAAACAGTTCCTACATTAAACATTTGTCGCTATGAGTTCTATTCACGTGGATATCTCTACAGCTGATATCTCCAAAACTGAACAACTCTTTCAAAAATATTCTAAAAGGACGAAAAGAAATACAGGCCATAAGAAAGCTGTAATAAACTGCTCCTTTTGTGTACAATGCATCCATATATATGGATCTTGAAATGTTCTAGCACTTCTTAAAGTTCTTGCTGCTGCAGCAGAATTTACAGTAAACAGGGTTTTCTCTCACTTCAGCTCAGAATGGCTTCTATAAATAAACAAAGAAAAAAATGAGAAGCACATGCGCATAAGCCCTCCAAGAAAAAAGAGACTCTAAGAACAAATACATACATATACATATATATATGTATATGTATATATGTATGTATATGTATATATGTATATCAACCATCTGAAGCTGTGATCACCCTTTTATAGACTCCAGGTGGCACAGCTAGTAAAAACTTTTATAATCATCAATACATACATACATACATACATATACATATATATATATATATATATATATATACATATACATATACATATACATATACACACACATATATACATACATATACATACATACATATACATACACATATACATACACACACATATATATATATATATGTATATATATATATATATACACACACACATATATATATATATATACATATATATATAAAGTAATGGAGTCTATAAAAGGGTGATCACAGCTTCAGATGGTTGATTTAAACTGTCTATAAAAGGGTGATCACAGCTTCAGATGGTTGATTTAAACTGTAAGGAAATCCCTGCTATCACTGCTGTGTGAAATCCAATGCAGTGAGAACGATAATGAGACTTTGTTATAAGCACACAGATGCCATGCTTTATTTGTTTTGGCATCAGACTCCTTTCTGCTTCCCTCACACTGCAGTCATCATCATTGGCAGCCAGACACCACGAGCACTGTCAACAACTGCCGCTTTTTCTTTTTTACCTGGTTGCATAAGCAACAGAGGAGGGATCGCTGTGTGTGTGTGTCATGAGTCACGTGTGGTCATGCCTGGTTGGCCCATGACATCACACTTTGGTGGTTTACATTGTTGGCTCTTAGCCTGTCACTTTCCTCAGGTGGCACAGCTAGTAAAAACTTTTATAATCATCAATCTGCTGCAGCTACTTTTCCACTCTGGCTCTTTTCCACCTCCCGCCCTTCTAACATGCACATGTGCTTTCACTATTTTCAGTGGCTTACGATCCATTGTTCACGCAATGTGACATAATGTTTTGTTTGTGAGGAGCAGTGGATGAACCCTTTTACCCTAGTAAAAAAAACAACACCACAGGTAACGGAGACTACAGCATTGCACCATATATGTATTGTTACACAGCTGAATGCAAAGGTGCCCAGTTGCTCTACTTTTACTCTTTATAACTGGCAAAAAAACTTTAAATAGAGGTATTCATACCGTTTATAAATACTGAAGTTATATTGAAATGATAAACCAAATACTGAAACCAGTGAGGACACCTTGGATAATCTTCCCGACTGAAACCTAGAATGGCCAACATTTATAAAATGGGGCTAAAAATTGATTTTATATAACCTGAAACGAGTGACTATGAACTCACCACTAACATGTTTACTGAGGTCAAGTCCCAAGACCATTTTCCCACAGACTTCTAAAGGACCGGAAGTCTTTTGCAACTGCAACCAGAGCCCCCCACCCCTCACTGTTGTTATAAAAAGAAAGCAGGTTTAAGGCCCTTCCACGCTGGCTTTGCTTTTTAAAAGCTGAAGCTAAGTACATCTTTTATACAATCTATGATTATTCTATTGCTGAAAATAGTTCACAGGAAATGCATGTAACATTCGTTCAAATTTAGAATACTCAGCTCCTTTCTGAAACTGCAGATTGTGCTGAAATAATGAATTAATCAATCATCAGCATTGGCAGTATTGTCTGTCTTCCTAAATCCTGCTTAGTGCCCCAAAGAACATAATATATCCTTTATTCTTGCCCACTTCAAAGCAGTGAGAAGAAACAGACACCTCATATAATCAAACAATGCAACAAAATTGTTTCTTTAGCAAGATTTGAAAAACAGCACAGGTTGTCAGGCTACAGCAGGGCAAACAGTGGAAGGATGGTACATCTCCCAGCCCAAGGACCACGGAGTTGAGCATAATTTATGATGTCCATATCAGCGACATCGAGGGATTTTCACTGACGTATTTTGCACACACCGCCTCATTGACAGTAAACACTCTGCAGAGATGCGGACTGCCTTTGCGATACCCAACCTCAAGCACAGAAGCAGAGAAGTCTCTTTCCCAGTCTATTAGGAAAATATGTGGGTTTTTTTTTTTTGGGGGGGGGGGGGGGGGGGGTTCTCCCAGTCTGGGTTGCAGCACTGATGCAAAAAGACAAACAGAATCCCGGTTCATAGGCCAGGTCAAGTGAAGGGCTAAAGAAACACTGAAGGAGGATTCAGATTTCATGTTCAGTAAGTTAGCTATTTACAGGGTCTAAACTTTTACATGCAGGCACTGGAGGGTCTCATAGTTACATTTTTAGGAAAGAAAAGATGCAACGCCTTGTGCTTATTTAATACAATGCTTTTCTAACTGCATAAAGTCAACTAATTATTTCTCTTATTTAGAATTAGCATGTTATCTGACTGGAACCCATTATTAGATTCACTTATTTAATCTAAATTCTATTAACACTATTTCTGAACCTATTAATGCTCCAACCTGTGGCTGCTAACTAAGGAATGGGAGAGGACTGAAATTAATCATGAAAGAAACTTCTGTGCCAAAGATAAACAGATTCACGGCGGCAGAAGATATGAAATGTTGACAGAATGTTTATTTACATTCAGACACTTCAGAACTCATGGCTGACCTGATTAATTTACTGATACGAACAGAATTTAAATGTATGTTCACATTTGCACACAATGACAAGTAGACCTGCATTTGTCAAACTGTGTGAGTCCTGCTGTCGGTGTAATTTATTCTTTTAGATTAACTGAGGATAGCACCACCACAAACTACCGCTGATGTGATGATGAAATATATTTTGGGGTTATATATATATATATATATATATATATATATATATATATACACACACACACACACATATGTATATATAACATAACATCAGTGTAGAATAGGAAGTTGAGAAGACTCAACAAAGTCTTTTAGCACTGGTTTGGATCCAGTAAATTTCTGCTGAAGTAAGTTTAGTTTGAAAACAGATGTTGTGCACATACAGTCATAGTGGTTCTTAGAACATTTTGACAGATTTGTTTAAACTACATAATTTTAAACCTAGAAATTTAGAATTTACATGCAGTACCATTAAAGTCGGGAAACAGCGACCAACGGTGAATGTTTCACAGCCACATGAGAGGGTACAGAGTAAACAACAAATACCTCAGTGAAAGTGTGACCCTATAAAGACCCATGGTTTGACCTTTGCCCCATGCTCTGACCTGCTTGTGTGGATTTCCTGCGGGCTTTTTTGATGTCTTCTTCAATCTTGTTGCTGAGTTTGATCTCCAGCTGCTGCGTCTTTAGCTCCAACTCTTTCTGCCTGTCAGACAGAGCTTTACGAGCCTGCCAGAGATAAGAGTCTGAAGTAAAGACTTTCACAAAACAATCTGAATTTCTGGCTGAGCTTCAGGCAGCAAATGTTTTCCTTTAAACAATGTGCAGCATCACGCTAACACGATAAAATAATGTTACAGTCTTCTTCAATTCACCACAGTGATAATGCTGTCTGCACCATTCATGCATCATTCAGTGTTAAAGCTTTCTTTTGACAGCCAACAATGTCAGTAACTTATTTGCAGTCCTGCTTTAAATGCTCAGTCGCCCATCAGATTACTTTATTTGAGAGAAACTGTTGAGTCCTTTCTCAGCATGATCGCTGATCATAAAGACACTGACAGATGATGTTAGACGAGCTTTACCCAGTTGCTTTCTATTGTATATATAAACAAAGACAAAATATCCAACAGATGAGAAACAGCCATCTGCTTATAGAAGAAATGTGGAATTATAATCAGCAGTGAGATGATTCCCTAAATAGTTTATACTGCCATATGAAATAATATAACGTACATGAGTTCTTATATTTGTATGAGCTTGGATACCTTCTCCACAGCCGCATAGCGGCCAACCATCTGCTTCCGTAGGTCGGCAATGTGGTGGTCGAGCCTCTTCATGTCCTTCTTAAAGTTTTCCCTGAAGGTCAGGAAGGGCTTCTCCACTTCACTCTGGAGCTGCTCAAAGAAAACAACACATACTGAATACTGATTTTTTCTGAGCAGAAAAAAAATGATGAAAAGCTAGTTTCAGGCAAGCGTTTGTCAGTAAAACATGACTGGCCATTGCTATAATAGAAAAATAGCCCTTTATTGTCATTGTACATGTACAATGCTCTACACCAACTGTGCCGTAATAACATATAGACAGCAGACAGCAGGAATAAATAGCAAACAGGAGAAATACTGACTGCAGCTTTCCTGCTATGACAGAATTGATTCATTAAACTTACAGTTCCAAAATTTCTGAGTATCTTCTTTGAGATAAAAAGGTGAGAGGCACAGACATTAGCCAAAAGTTTTGCTAGTGGCTAATTAGCCAAATATTTGCACTGTTGGCTAGTCAAAAACAGTTTAGCATTCATATACTTTGGTTTGTTGAATCAACAACAAACCACAGAAAATGTAAGTGAGGAAGATTATTCACAGAAGGAGAAAGTCTCCCGGGAGTGGACATCCCAGCAAATTCCCACAAACCTCAATAAGCTAAAGCAACGTTTCAAATAAGAGTGGGCTAAAGTTCCTCCACAATGATGTGAGAGACTCATAAAGTCAAACAGAAAAAGCTTACTTCACTTTATTACAGGTACAAATGCTTCTACAAGCTACCAAATCACATGATGCACTTAATATTTCACACCATCTGCTTCTGCATTTATACTTAGTTGCTGTTAAATGAATAAGGATAGTGTAATATGTCATTTGTTGTCAGTCATTTGAGGTTGTTTTTACATGTCCTTTTTTTTTTAACATGACCGTATTTACAAAATAACGGATAGAAAAGTCATTAAGCCACTCAGGTCCATTGTATGTCCTGACACTGATACAAAATAGAGCCAAGTTTGGTCTCATTTAGCACTTCGTGACTTATAGTGTTCACTACTCAAAACCATGTGGTACTTTGATTGGTTTCAGAATTCTGGTAGCTGAAAGGGAAAACAAATGTGTCAGGCAGATTCATGCACTGAACAACAAATGACTGTTAATGCACATTAAGAGAAGTTTCAATAAAATGACTTCTTCTTCAAGAGCAACTCAGGTTTATAGGAGTTTAGATTACAGTAATGCTAGTGATTAATCACAAAGGGACACCCTTTAATCACCTCTCTGTTTATCAGATTTAATTATCCAGAACCTTAATTAGCTCCATTCGCTCTGGTTGCATTCCATATATCATGTCATCATCTTCTGACACTGAGCTATTTTAGATCACAAATGCTTTGATATGAAGGAGCCAAGCAAAAACCAGAATCTCAGTTGTTATCATTCATTTGCTTCTCTTTTTGCTTGATCCTTTATTGGTAAAGTGGCTTTTAAAGTTAACAGCACATCTTCCAGATCCAAGTTTCTGACAAGGCCATATTATTTTTGAATGCCAGCAGCAAGCCCGTCACTGGTAATATGCAATGTGGTGTCCTGTCCCAGCTGTCAGTGATGAATGAGATGTGCAGCTCCTTCCTGCAATCACACCGTCATTCAAAATTCATTTCCACTTAAACCCTTCCTTCTCCTCCAAGAACCTGGAAAAGTGCCGCACATCTGTGCATCCCTGGAGGATAACATCACCGATTCCATTTCCTCCATCACTCCAGCTGGAATCCTGGCCTCTGTCTTTTGTCTTCCCCTCTTTCCTTCGACATCAAACATCGAAAACGATCTGAAAATGAAGAGCGCTAGCTGGCCCCTTGAAGACTTTGAAAGCATTACTGAGTTCTTAAGACAGAAGATGCCTCGCTCGTAAATCATCTGCTACCGGTTCCCGCAGTCTTTCTGCTTGTGGGGAAATCGCGATTAAAAATTATTTTTAAAATAAATCAATAAATAAAATGTTGAGTCAAAGCCTCCGTGTCACACACATGTGCTTCAGCCCACAGAGCCATCAGGAAGCCCTTTACTCTATGTCACTGCATTAGAAGGCAGTCTGTCTGCCTAGTGAGTCACATGTGCTGTAGGCTGCAGTACCCGCAGCCAATATGGACGTACTGTAAAACCAAGCACCAGCGACCGTCTGGAGTGATCAGCCAATAAAATACAGTGTGACCTCTTCATCATAAGGCTTAAAGAGGTTAAACAACTGGAAACATTAGTCCACCTGATAAAACATCCCCCAGTTTATTCAGTAACTGTAAGGTGAAATAAGAGCCTTGGCTCTATGAATAAGAGACGCTCACAGGGAGATGCAGGAAGTCTCTTTGTTCAAATCACAGGGCCACAGTCACATTTATCACTGTTCAGGGTCCCTGAAGGTTACGTTAAAAAGTTAACTGGGTTAGATCACATCTTATGGCTTTTATCTAAGCTAAACCTATTTTCAGTGTAGGTTTAAATGACCCACTTTTAAAAAAGCAGGAGCCTGGGGAAAAGAGGAATTGATGGGCTTTAACAGAAAGCTCAGCAGAAGTGTTCACACCAGTACTCTGTAGTTTCCAAACAGCTGTGGATAAACTGAGTGGCTGGTTGTTAATGCATCAGACTGAAGAAGCGAACTGAACTTTGGCTAAACAAAGTCGGTTAAAAAAACAAAACAAAAAGTGAAGAAATCTTCATTTAGACCTTTGTTTGTGCATTCTCATAAACGTGCGATCTCAAATGAATGAAAACTGTAAAAATGTTGTGTTTTTTTACAAATGTGATGCAACGCAAATAACGTATTATAAAGCTAGGTCGCATTCAATCAGAATATCCTGTCTTCCTTCTCTCTCCTCAACTGGTCGCGACAGATGGCTCCCTGAGCCTGGTTCTGCCGGAGGTTTCTTCCTGTTAAAAGGGAGTTTTTCCTTCCCACTATCGGCAAGGTGCTTGCTCATAGGGGGTCACATGATTGTTGGGTTTTTCTCTGTATGTATTATTCTAGGGTCTACCTTACAATATAAAGAGCCTTGGGGCGACTGTTGTGATCTGGCGCTGTATAAATAAAGTTGAATTGAATAGCAGAGACAAACTGATTCCTGTCCAGAGTGGAAGGCACTAACTGTTAGTTTGTTTTAATCATTCTGATAAGAGAAACACAAATAAAACAAGAAACAGCACCCTCATTTTGTGCATGTATTCACTTTTATATCAGTGTAAAAGTCAAAATATGTTGTCACCATGTACTTCCATGTTCCATTTTCTCAGTTTGTCTTAAATAAATAATGGCACGGTGCAATATGTCATGTTAATCTCACTTTGCATATAATCTAATTTTAAGACCTGCTAAAACCAGGTTAGGTATTTCCTAAAGTGACAGAGGGTGTCCTTTCTTTCTTTTTTACCACGACTAACTTTAAGCTGTTGTTGTGAATGTAATCTGGCCAAAGAAAACAATGTTGCCTCTTAAAGCCAGTTCTGGTTTGGTCTAAACTATGTCTGTGGTGTGCGGGGGAGGAATCCATTCAGCATTTTGTAAACAAAACAAACACTGGACATATCTTGTATAATATAGCGATGCTAGCTTTGTGTTTATTGGTATCCACCCACTTCATGTTGCCACTGGTAGTTTTGCCTGTTATTGAGACATTCCGTGGTCTCTGGTTGCCACATTGTTGCTAAGCTTTTCCTGTCTGCATCTATTGTATGCCCTTTTGTGCTTTAAGAGATAGACAGGCATGGCGAATAATCAGGCAGTCAGAATACTATGAAAAATCTGTTTAGTTAATATTTGGTTTCATATCTTATTAACCGGATCCGACAGAGTTTGATGAATTACCTTCGAGGAGAACTTAAGGTGAACTTCAGCTTCGTCTGCCAGGCTCTTCTTCAGCTGGGCCCAAGCCTCCCCCAGAGTACTGAGAGCAGATAAGAAGGAGGGAGAGTGTGAGTGGTTAATATATTACACAATAAAAGACCACACACACTTTTATAAAGACTCATAGGGTGGGCATGGAAGCTGTCAGAGAAAATGGGGGGGTAAGACGGAGCCGAGGGAGCAGGATGAATCCCCCCCCCCCACACACACACACACACACACACACACACACACACACACACACACACACACACACACACACACACACACAGAGTTGAGGCTCATGAGTAGTCAGTGCAAAAGTTCACAGAAGCACAAGTAACCGGTAAATCTACAGAGCTGAGCTGAGGTCCACCGCCAGTTCAACAGATGATTAGGATGTATGGGACATGAGATATGGCTCCACTTATTCTCTCAGCTTCGAGTGCAGCTTTCTCAACACAGCTGGGGGCAGTAAAACTCAGAAGGCTTGTTTTGAAGACGAGATGATGCACATTACATTATCTTCACATGCAACTTGTCTTTTTAATAGTGCAGATATATGTTTGCATTCTTAGACAGAATGGTTTATGGCAACAAGATCATGAAGACTGTAAAACAATCACTTGCTTAGGCAGACAGTCACAGACACACGGCTTTAAGTCCAGGACTGGAGGTCTTCGCGGGTCAGCGGGTCACTTCAAAGCGCCGCTCTGAGTGGAAGACCTGTGGAATTCCCTCACACTGACATCCAGAACATTCCAAACACTGTCGGAGCAAATTCGGGTACCTCCAGATCGACGCCATCTAAACCATTGCGAGCTTTTCAAATCATAGAGATCATTTTAAAGCTTAGATACAACAAAAGCTGCCTAACGGCAATCAGCAAGCATGATTTCTATAACAGTTACACCAAATCATCAGTGTCGTCCAATCAGGTTGCGGAATAAGCTGTGCACCTTTCTTCAGGTGAAGGTTTGTGCCTATTAAATGCTTAATAAGTTCATTCTTGTTTCTCCCACCTCTTCTTTGCTTTTTTAATTATGAAATGATTTGCCTGACAGATAGCTAATATCATCATAAAAAATTAATGGCATAAAAAACTGATGCACCACCGGGTGTTGGCTTAATTGTTGATTCTAGTGTGTCCAGGTTATACCCAGCCTCTCACCCTGTGACACCTAGGCCACGATACACACCAACCCCTTGACTCAAGACAACATTTCAGTTTCCTGCTTTTAAAGTTCTCGAAAAGTCCTGCTAGACACAAGTCATGCAACTCGACAACCATCTTGGTAATATCTCTAGGGCCTTATTTGGAGAGCTATTTTAAAGCTTCTATCTAAATGAAAGGGGAGACATACATCTAAATTGAGCAGTCACTGGCACATAAAAACAGCATGTGTTAACCCACGACTGTTTTCTACACTCATTGGTTTTAACAAGTCGATTTGCCTGTGTGAAATTGTGTGAATGTGTCAGTGTCTCCTGAAAAGTCTAACCTTAACTATCGGAGTTCACACACACTTTACATTGGGAACTACAGAAATTGACCCTTTTGTCATAACAGTGACATCGTTGTCTTTAAAGACTGAAAGCAGATGTGTTTATGTTTGATGCCTCAGTAACAAAGGTATGGCTGAAATGAAGATAGATGTCAGCATTAAAAGAGTCAGCCACCATGGCTGAACAAAGAAAACAGCACCACCGACAGAATCTTCCTATAAATAAGCAACACTTCTGTTTACATTCAGTGGTACTCACTGAAATGTAATCTGTATATCCTTGAGGTCTGACCAATGCGCTGAAGATATTTATTTATTTATATTTTGCTCAAGTCATAAAATCCTTATTTCGTTGTACATATACAATAACAATAAAGGGCTATTCTATTCTATTCTATTCTAATGTTCAGCTGAGTGTAACACGAGTTTAAGTAAAGCAGAAAATTCTCACATTCAAAAATCTAGAACCATCAAATGTTTGGCATGCGTGCTTAAAAACTGACTTAAATGATTGAATTGAAATACAACTTTTTCACCTAATAAATCAATTTTTTGGTTTGTGGGTAGAAAAATAAGCTTGAAAACACTCCTTTTCTACACACAAGAAGGCTATTTTATTATTCTTTGCTCAATATAGACCAGATTAACAGCTCATACAGATGCAGTATCTTTCCACCTTAAAAAGACATCAGATGAAAGACAAACCTTGAACTAAGAGGAATCTGGATATTATGATTCCAAACTGGAAAAACTGCACCACTTCAAACATTCTTCACACTCAATAACTTATATGTGCCATGTGCCTGCAATCTTGCATTCCCAAGTGACAGTCACTTGGCAACAAAATGCTGCATCTCAGGGAAAATGAATCTCTTGCCATGCACTTCCTCATTCAGCATAGTACAGTATTGGTAACTATAAAAAAAATGGTCACATGCCTCACATCCCCACCAAACAAATGGCAAATTCAGGAATAAATAGATGGCTGGTTCTGGGCTGCGGCTGGTCGGATGGTAGGAACCGACCAACAAAACAGTGATTGTCCTGTGTGACAACAGAGCCAGCCTTAGGGACGGCATAATGAAAGCATTGTGTTGCACTTTTGTGGGTGTGGGCAGACTGAGCTGGCTGGCATAATCTGGATTCTATATGGGACAATTCCATCCCACTCTGTTACCATCCTAGCATGAAGAGGGGTTATCTTATATGCATGTAAACACTGAAAGGGAGGGTAAGTGTAGCTGAACCCCCCTTACATCCGTGTACAGTTTGCCTTCTTTCTTTGTCTGATAGAAATGATAATAATGTCAAATAAAGTGTCCAATATTTTTCAGCCTATGTTATTTTTGCTGAATTCAAAATATGCTAGCTCAAGTCTAGAAGAATCTGAAAGTTAGCTAGAATGTTAGCTAGCTAATGGTAGCTAACATTAGCAACCAAATCAGCAACAACACACATTCATGTATTAATCTGAGTGATTTGTTTTAGCCCGTAATATTTAAAGAAAGACATAACTCTTGTACAGGTATTCTGCCAGCAAGTTTTAAAGTCACTTTTTTTCTAAATAAAACTTTTTATGAATTATTAAAGTTCCTGTTTAAATTCCTGTTTTGAAGCCTCAAGCATTTTTTGGCATCATCATCTTGGTGTTTTCAAACCAGATCTAACAAACAAAAAAGATCACACTCACTGTCAGTCACAAGTCAGAAGACACTGAGTGTTTCTTGTGTAATCTTCTTTTCTGAAACCTTGAATGACTGAAATTAGCAACATGAACAATGCTTTATTCAGTACGACTCAAAATGAGTGACTGACATCATAAAGTTTTCAAGTCTGCGGGCCATTTTCTCCCAGAATTCTGTAGGACTGGAAGTCTTTTAGGAACCAGATGTCTCGCCATCTGGTGGCCATTAATAGGAATCCAAGTTAGAGGCACTTCCACGTTGTTTTCAAGCCAAAGACTTGTTTTATACTGTAGTTGCACCACATGAACGACTTACACTGAGATTAGGCAAGAAAAGTTACAAAAAAATCAAAGTTACATCACTGGCAAAGTAGGAAACTGCAAGTTATTGTAAACCATCTTAGAAGAGCAGTTCTGCTTAGTTTTAATGCCTAAAAACCAAATCAAACGTAAAAAAACCAATACATGAACTGTAAAATAGTGGTTAATTTAGGTATCATTTAATTATTTAACATTATATTTTAGGATAATTTTATGAATTAGCTGCAATGCTAATTATTCCTAAGTATTTGTATAAAGTAAAAGTATAATTTATAGTCTTTCTCTGCACCACTGTCTTTTTGCAACACAACAAATTCCTTGTTTGTGTGATTAGTTTTTTATTAGCTGAGGATTCTGCTGCCCTATATTGCCACTACAATCTTTCATCATGGCCACATGTATCATAATTTGAATAAAAATTGTGCTTCATCCGTATTTAGATAGTGTGAACATCAAATAATCAGCAGTTTAACTTGCGTTAACCCCTGAGCTTCTATTAAAGGCTGAGGTTAAGAGATTCACATACATGTTCCTGTGTGCCCTCGGTGAATCAGACAAAGAGCTGCTCTCACCTCAGCATGATATCCTGTGTGTTGTCAAACAGGATAAAAGAGGAGTGGCTGGAAACTCTCTTTCCCCCAGCAGGGCTTCACACCTTCCCCTCCCCTCTCCCCTTCAATCTCCTAACACACCCCCTCTCTTCGCATGCGTCTGTGTCTCCTCTCCTGTGCTTTCTTTTAATAGCTGGAATGTGTTGCAGGATGGAGATCAAAGCATGCAGTGGTTTTACAGGATGGCCACAGATTCACTGACAGGGCCTCCAGACTCCAGCTCACATCGGGATGTCTCGCGCGATTGGCTACTTGATTGGCTTGCTCACTGAGGAGCTGTCTGCTGGATTGTCTAATTGGCCGACTAATTCGGCATTAGCGTCAATTTACACCTAGCAATATCACTCATGGCAGACTTTAAAGCTCAATTGTGGAAACTGAGTACAAAAGTATAAAATAGGTGAAAATAATTATAAGGGACAAGTTGATTCCTAAGAAATAAAATTCACATTTGTATAGTTTTAAACACTCTGCAATTTTGATGTGACAGTCTTACCTGATCAGACACGTAGCACATGAGCTAAGAGTAAGTAGATGTATAAGCTTGTTACCTAAACCTGGAATAACTTTATGTTTATTGTATCCTACATGTAATATATGTAGGGGATAAATTATCAGCAAAGTTCACTGTCATTGTAAATTACTTAATTTAAACCAGCTCTAATGTTTAAAGCTGAAATATCTTAAAGAGATGTACCCTCTATTGTGCAATACAATTACAGAATACACTGTTAAGGAAGGAGCCTAAAACGCGGTACTTACAACCTGCACAACTCTAAAGCAGCTTCAAAGTGAGAAGCCTGGCACAGTGCTTTTCAAATGTTGACATGCGGCTTTTTTTTTTTTATATATTGATCCATGCACCCATGTGTGACAGGGCGCTCTGTGATGAGGGCAGGTTGTGTGTCTTTCTTCTTCACAGCCACTCACCCTTCTTCCTGGCTTGCTAGAGGGATCTGTGAGAGCTTGGAGAGATTCTTAGCGTACTCCTCTTCTATCTTTATCCTGAGAAGGAAGTAGAGGGTGATTACCACACGGCATGTACGCAACAATGTTTCCATGTTCATTTCCTTTATTGTGCAATGCACTGATGTACATGAAAGAGCAAGCATGAAAAAAGGAGAAATGGTTTGTTTTTAATGACAATTGTATGGTTGTCACAGTAACCCGAGGACAAAGTGTGAACAAAATGAAACATTAAAAAAGTGAACGTAGCAGATACCGTTCTCGAATGAACTCGGCCATCTCTTTCTGCATCTGTTTCCCCTTCAGCTGTTTCTGCAGCAAAACCTCAAATCCTGTAATGCAGCCGTTGCCCTGGGGATCCTTCTTATCAGCCTAACGAGATAAACAAGGCGAACACACGAGAAATGCAGTGAATAAACAAACACTTAGCAACACACACGTGAACATTAGACCTCAACAAAGTTGCTAAGTAAAATAAACATGCTGCACGCTCCCTCAAAGAGATGACACCAGAGGAAACTGAATCAGGTGGCTTCACTGAAAACTGTAGAACCCTTTTTGATTAGCGCTATTCTGCCACCATCGTCCTCATTCTTCAATCTTTCTGTGAAAAATTTCACCTTCAAAAGACATTTTAGCTTCTTTCTGCTCACTTATTCATGGCTCTGTCACATCAGAGCAAAAAGCCGTCTTGCGACTTAGTAAAATGAGTTGTTGGTGATTGGCAACCAGTTGCAAATAGTTGCAGTGACCATCAAAACAACAATGTAATATTATGATGAATATGATCATTATATGCATGATTAATATGATCATTATATGCATGATGAATATCACGACTTACTTTTATTACTGCTGTATCACTCTGAGCAGTCGGATTTGCTAACCGTCTTCTAATTCATTGCACACAGTCACAAGAATTCTGATTATACTTTTGTCTCCAACCACCAGTTTCGTTACCATATCGATGGCATTGCTGTTGCTACAATGCTTTATCAGAGCTCGCACCAGCTGTTTTCTGCAAACAGCTGCTGGACATGTGTTTCCTAAACTAGTTGGATATTACCTTCCAAGCACCAGGTTTTTTAGCAGAGAGTATTTTAACAGCTTTCAGCTTCCTATCTTGGTTTCACTTCCTCCAGATGTACTATGTTGCTCTAATGTCACATATCCACTGTATGCTATCTCGTCTTGGGGTGAGCAACTCACTTACTGCAGCAAATAGCACCTTAAAATGCAAGTCGTGTTATTTTTAATCATTGGTTACAACGACATGAGTAAAAATGTAGAGAGGGACGACATGTAACATGCTTCTAAAAGTGCGCTGGCACGCTTACCTTAGCAGATACAGTACATAAATATTTCCGATGCCCAGCATCCATGGGATGACCAATCCATCCATTCATCCTGTTTTTTCGATTGACATGACCTTTTGAGGTTTGAAGTTGTCTTCGGTGACTACCCCAACAGTAAAACCCTAGAATACTGTTGCCAAGTGCTTTCTCATGAGGATTCGTCTGACTGTTGGGGTATTCTCTGTATTATTGCAGGGTCTTTACCCTACAGTATGAAGCGACCTGAACTAAAAGATTGAGCGCTTTAAAAATTAAATTGATATTGGATTAAAAACACTTGATTAGGACCAGAGATGGGCAGTAACGCGTTACTTGAAAAAAGTAATCGGATTACAGTAACGAGTAAAGTAAGGGATTACTATTGCAAAAACGGTAATTAGATTACACTTACTTTCACGTAGGAACGCTGTGTTACTGAAACCGTGATTTTTTTGCGAGAATGTCTCATGACAGTGACGTAAGCGAGTGCGCCGTTCGTGACAACAGCTGTGTGCAGATCAACAATGGATCATATATCGAGTGCGGGAGAGAGTATGAGCGTGCAGCGTTTAAAGTGTGGAAGTACTGACCTTACTTTGAGTTTGATTCTATAAAAAGTGACAAAAACATTAGTGTCCATCGTGTGTGGGAAGAAAACTTCTTTTTACAGCGAAAAAACCCCCTAAACTTCCAAGCAAGCACCGAGTGCGCAACGACGTAATGGGAAATTCACAGAGAAACTCGCGGATTCTTCAACTGACCGCTGCGGCACACCTGCACCAGGGTAAACCTCCGCCTACCCTACTCCTGCTTTACAGGTGAAAATAGAGCAAAAGGACCGCTGAGTCTTTGACTTTATTTATTTTCTGCTGTGTTTTACTTGCATCTATTTGAAAGACTGAGTGTAAACACAAAAAATATTTTATTTTATGTGCTGGAATGTGTAGAAAATAGGTTTAAATGTTAAACTAATTTATTCAAGTCAGAGAATGTTGCATATAATTAAATTTTTGCTTGATGCATAAAATTAAAAGATTAAAACTAATAAAACAAGTTAAAAAAAAGAGACTTTTCCATTTGATTACATTTTGTATGATGGATTATGTAGAAAAAGTAGAATTGGGCTGAAAGCTCTATCGCTTTATCACCTCTTCAGGTTGTAAATCGTGTTTTTAAAAAGTAACTAAGTAACTAAGTAATTAATTACTTTTGAAAATAAGTAATCAGTAAAGTAACGGGATTACTTTTTTGGGGAAGTAATCAGTAATTAGTAGCTGATTACTTTTTTCAAGTAACTTGACCAACACTGATTAGGACTGTGTTTCTTAATTTTTTAGAGTTTTAATGGAGGACATAATAAAATGACATTTGATAGTGAGCTAGACAGCAAGCAGACGATGCTAGCTAAGACTGCGATGGCTAGACAGTCAACACGACAGCAGGACTACATCTTCAGTGTTGGACACGACCACGCATAATATTGCAGTAGCTATTTCAATGAAGTGGTGCTGAGTTGTACCTTTTTTATATACAGGCTATATTTAAAACTGTGTCTAAAGTCTCTTAACATCTTCTAAAGCCTGTTAGAAATCACTTAAACACTGGACAGTGCGTACAGCTTTAATTGCAGAAAGCAGTCAGTAGACTGGGAGCTACACCATACATGACAAACTGACATCGGAACTCAGAGAACAGATAATCCTGAATTTTGGGAACTGCACATTTTACAGAAAACCAGACGTTCCTGGACTCTCCCATCCACTTTCTCCACTCTCTCTTTCTTTCTACTGCATTGTCACCTGTGTTTGTGATTACAGTGTGTTACCACACAAACTGCACCTGGTAGAAATTACACTGCAGGGGAAGGAGATGTCCAAACAAGAGCAGCTGAGGCCAGCTGGCCTCACTGTGCTCCAGCCAGTTACATGTAATGTGTTTCCCTGCTGCGCTGTGTCTTGGATGTTATTAAAGCCAATACTGATTCCCAGCGTGCAGTTGGGCCAGGATGACATAAATATGAAATCACGATGAAAGATGAAGAGGATCCAGTGTTGTTTCTCATAACATGGACACATAAGGATGGTCAACTGCAAATCTTTCTATATAAAAACTAAAATCATGAAAAGATTATGTTTTTGTAGGTTCTGGACTTGATCTATAGAAAATAGTTACTCAGGTAAACTTACCCAGAAGTAGTCACAGTAGCTCCATTCACTGGGTTTCAGTAGCTGTTGCTCGGGCATGCAGGCGGGTGATGGGAACGTCACACAGTTGATCTGCAGGAGAGAGGGGGGAGCAAGCGCAGTTTAATGGGCAGTTTATGGGATCATGACGAATAACTGATTTCACACACCTGTGATTGCTCCTTGTGTTGACAGGCAGTTCACACGTGCACGTGCACTCTCTCACACATACACAGACACCTGCACTGCTATTCAAGGTAGCGCGTGCTCTGTTGCTCTGGCAACCCTCTCTCATCCGTGCAGCTATGAGAAGATGCCGATGTGAAAAAAGCCCAAACGTTTACAGTCAAGCTGACATTGTTCGTTTATTTTTTTTCAGCGCTCGCTGTCCTCAGGGACAGCATTGTCAACACAGCGCCATTGTGGTTCTTAGCTTTTTTGAGGATACATTGTTCTGCTCTATAGCCCGACACTCTCTGCTCTACTCTGGTTTCAGAGCAATCAGTGGGATGGATTCCGGAAAATTGCCTTTAATTATCGCGGCGGTGTAAATTGTCAGCAGCAGTGTTCTTGAGTTTGTTGGCTTCAAGTCTCCCCGCTGTGAAGCACTCATAAGCAGAGGGACTGCACACAACTGATGATGCTCTACTACTCTCTGCTCTTATTGGGGTTTTTTTTCAAACTTTTACACTAGTGTGGAAAGGTAGCAGACAACCACAGGTAACCTCACCGCTTTCAGGAGTGAACTCACATAGTATAATAGATTCTCAGATCTCAGAGGTGCTTTGACAATTCATCGCTTCTAGGTTTAGCAGAACAAAAACGTTGCTTTGCCATGAAAATCTACACTTCGCTCTGCAGATTCATTTGCTGTCAAGCCAACAAGAAAAAGAAGCAGAAAAGACAGAGCCCAGAAAAAAGTAGACACGTCTCCACAGTGAAGACATACATAAAGACACAAGTTTTCACTTCAGAGCAAACAACAGGAGCTTTCTCTCACATTCCCATTAACCTCAGGAGGTAATCAGCCTGCAGCGATGATGCACAGTTGCTATTTAACAAACTTCAGTGGCACCCTGGTCTAATACCAAAGCCACGCCTTTCAGGGGAATTCAACAAATATGGTTGTGCTGATGTCTTTTCCAGAGCCAATAGTCTGACATGCTATGAGTTAGAAGAAAGGGGCCTCTAATTTAACCTTTTCTTGGCTTATGAAGCTTATAATTTGTTTGAAGTAATGGCTTCCTATTTAATCGCTGTGGAGGTCCAGAGGTTGAAAGCTACCAGGGCTTTAAACTGACCCCTGCTTTTCCTTTGGTGAAGATGAGGGCAAAGAGACTTCCAACTAAGTATCCAATGAAAGGCTTAGTTTGTTTGAATTCAGACACACACACACACACACACACACACACACACACACGAGGCACTGCTTCCAGCACTTTCTCTCCTGACCTTTGGTGACCCTAACAACTTGCCCCTCCTCCCAGCAATATCCAGTCTGAGCTCAACACTCACAGTGGGCACAGATTGGGATTTCTTCACATTTTGAAGCAGTGTGATGGCAGACACATAGCTCCACCTAATTATAGAATTCTGAAGGTGTTGTCTTAAAGCTAGAAGTTACCAAAAATATGATGCAACATGTGAAAACCTCAACTCCAAAATGTTAAAGTTTTACTTAGTTCATAAACTTTCAGATTGACTTTTAATTCAGTTCAATTTATACAGCGCCAAATCACAACAACAGTCGCCTCAAGGCCTTTTTCAGCTTTATTTGATGGACTCAGTGAAGAAAGGACAGGAAAGCAGGGGAAGACATGCGGCAAAGGGACGTGGACCAGACTTGAACCCGTCCGCTCTCAGCTGCTCAACGCACTGAGCTAAACCAGCACCCAGACGCTACAATAATACATACAGAGAAAAACCCAACAATCATATGACCCTCTATGAGCAAGCACTTTGGCGACAGTGGGAAGGAAAAACTCCCTTTTAACAGGAAGAAACCTCTGGCAGAACCAGGCTCAGGGAGGGGCGGGGCCATCTGCGGCAACCAGTTGGGGTGAGAGAAGGAAGACAGGATAACAGACATGTTGTAGATGAGAGCCAGAGATTAATAACAAGTACGATTTTAGATTTAATAAATCTTTCTTTTCTAGAAACGATTGAAGATGTCAAACTGTGTCTTTTCTTTGAATATTGTGGTTTAGTAACAATGTGTAAAGATAAGTATTCACTTGTAGCATGTTCATAGGATTAAAGTTCTTCTAAAAACTCCACTACGTTTACAAGAAACCATCAATGGATCCCAATCGAGTAATCGCCACAAGCCAAAGACGGAAAAGTTGCCAGCATCATTAAGGGGGCAAATTTCACTGGTTGAATGGTCAGGTCATACTCACAGCGCTCACAGCTTAAAAGGATTTGGGGCAAAATACATCAGAAACTGTTCAAGAACACAGTTTTTCAAGTTGCTGCAGACGGTAAAGTTAAGATAAAAACAAAAAAAAAAACCTGTGGAAATTCCAGCTGTTGATTGCATCACTGCCTGGCTGTTTAGTGCGCAGCTTGGATTCTCTGTCAGCATTGTTGCTGGCTTTCCCTCTGCTGCGTCACACATGGACGACCATGTGTTTATCTGCTTTAATATAAGTGAACAAGTTACAGCATGTCCAGTAATTAGCACAATAATCTGTTAGTTTTCTAACGTACGTTCTTTTGGAGGCCAAGAGTTACAACATGTCATTAGCTGGATTGGTTGGTGTTTGGTGTTATCATGTCACTGAATACTACCGTATCAGCGATAAGGCTTACAATCAGTGTGCACTGCTTTGTTTTGAGTTTTTACAATCCAGCAATCTTGGACAAATTGTTCTTGTTATGCTAAAATAAAGACTTTTTGTCTTACAAAAATAAAAGCTCAGCTTCAGCCTCTTAGTAGATTCACCAATCAATCAATCTTCCTTTTCGACTGATTGCATTTACAATCAAAACTTGATCTCTAACCGAGGCCTCGAGGCCGAGGTGACAGGGATTTGAACTTCTCTGAGATTTTTAGTAGATACACCTATGGTATCAAGTTGACAATCCTGCCATTTATCAACGTCGCCCACCTGCCCGCCTGACAACAATGCCCCATCAGCCTGAGGGCTGAAAATGAAACAGTGTTTCAAAGTATACACTTAAAAACTTAAATCTAAATTTGATATTGTTACTGAAACATGTTTTATAGTATTATAGTCTAAACTGGTCTGGTGATGAGAATACTTCTTATTTATTTAGCTTCATCTTTTTTTAATTTATTCATCCTTTTATCCTCACTGTGATGTTCAAAAAGATAAACAACAGGTCTCTACCACTGCAAAGTGTGTATCTCCTGTGCAAGAAGAGAAGCGTGACTTTTCTGAAGGTCACCTGACCTCTTCAAGACTTCGCTGTCAGCAGACGGCATCAGTAGTAGCTATTTGATATCGACTGTTGCTGTTCTCACCTCCCTTTTCTCACTCCTGTTTCCTCTTATAACTATCTGCTTATCAATAGCATCGCTCTGGTTGCTATGGAAGCCAAGAAATGCCCCCTCCCCCTTACATTTCAAGCACGTTTTTTTTATACACATATATATATCCTGAGAAAATAAAAGCCTGGGCTTAATCCATGACCTCCTGGGAGCAGGACGTCTGCTATTTTCCTAGTGTGAGGCCAAACAGGAAGTAATGACCTGACAGCAGAGGAGAAATCATCTGGATGCTGAACAGGATGATGTCACTGTGTATCTGTACACTAGCAACTGAAAATAAGCATCGAACAATTCTCACAGGAGCGGACAGATAAAAAAAAACAAACAAACAAACAAAGCAAGCCTGAAGAGAAAATGAAAAGCATTTACAGCTACAATGCAGTTAAGGTTTAGTTAGTTAGTATATGCACTGATGTATTTTAAATGATGCAGAAATCATGAGGTTGGATAAAAAGTCCACCAGGAGGGACGTCTGCATTAGACATATTTTTTTTTAGCTAATAAGTTCAGAAATAAAGACTCAAGTTCTTCCTTGCTGGTCCTTTGGGACTATTGTAGTGCTCTGGGGTGAGTTCATGGTTAGTTAAGAGTTCCCAGTAGTTGCCCCACTCACCGTGACCGTGGTCTCCTTGTTGTGTTTACTCGTGGGCGATGTCGATCCTGGGCACTGCAGAGAGAAGAAGGACGCTCCGTCAAAAACTCTATCCTCCGTGTCAGACATGACTGCTCGGCGTACACACACCGCCACCCGCACATGCACGCAAACACAGTTGTTTTCCAGGCGAGTGCTGTTAGCGTCTGTCTGGCGCTCTCTGTGCTCCTGGTGCTGCTGCTGCTAGTGTGTATGGATGTGTGTTTGTGTGTGTGTGTGTTGCTGTGCAGAGTAGGGAGGATAGTTCTGCAGAGCAAAGCAAAGCACGGCTTGCGTTCTCTCTTTGTGTGAATGTTGATGCATGTGTGTGTGATTTCCAACACTTAAGCTCAGAATAGAGTCATTTCCAGTGCTCTGGGCTGAAGCAGCAGTGGGTGAAATAAATAAGTGTTAAACAGTAAAGCTAGATGGAAAGTATAGGGAGTTTATCACCTCTTTTCCCACAAAATAATTAAAGATAGAAAAGGGAACAGGACCTTGAGTCATTAGCATCATGTGCGTGTTTGCAGTTTTTGAATGAGCGGGTTTGTGTACACGAGTCTGCGATGCAGAAAAGGAGAGAAGTGAGGTGACAGCGAGTGAAAAACTGGTGGGTGGATCCTGTATAACTGCACCCTGAGTGCCTGGTTAATTATGATCAGGGGAGCAGATACTGTAGGAGGGATTAATGTGCTCAAACTGCCATCAGCTGCTCCATTAATACCGAGCGGAGAAAGAGAGAGGTGGTCTGATCATGACATCATGCATCATCAGTATAGCTGTACATCATTACATCTTTAATTGTTTCTAAACACTGGATATGGATCGAGTTGTGTTGGCAGACAAACTAACCTAAAGCAATGATTTTGCAACAGAGAAGCAGAAGCAGGGTCATTTATTATTATATCCACAATAACGTCCTGATAGAGCCGCACCAGTTTACTGGGAAGTTGTTTTAAGTCTTAATCAAAGCGTCTAAACAGCCTCGTCCCACCCTCACAGGGGTTATTTATCTCTTCTGCACTCCAATGCCATTACCAAGTACTTTGGTTAGTTGTACTGCACCTGTGGAGCTCTAACCTCAACTTCTTGTCCTCATGTGTCCTAAACTGATACACTATGAGACAAAACTGAGTCATAGTACGCTTGTTCTTAAAATAAGCAGTTATCTACATGTGGCGGGGAGCATACAGCAGGACAAACAGACTGTTTAAATGTCATGCCTGTGAAAAACCTGGCAGGGTGGAAGATGATTTAGAGCACGAAGAAACAGCAGTGAGACAAGTTTTCTCAAACCTTGGAAAGACACCAACACCACTAATTTTAGTTAATTTCACTCCATGTGACATTTCACAACTTTTGTGCTAAATTTGGGGGACTCACATCGCTTTTGAGTCTTTGGGATAGTAAAACTTTAAAAAACAGCGACAGACTTTCTTCGAAAGGAGCAAACAAGCAAGCCTTGACAGCTGAATATCCACATCTTTTGCATCTATGCTTTCAGTGATATAGTCAAGGACTAAAAATAATAAAATCAGACAGCTTTACCTGGGGCTCTGTATTGCTCTTCCTAACCAGACTGTTGTGTGAGTGCTCCACATGATGCAAGGGACTACCACCTGAGTGAAATCCATTCACTGGAAAAACAAATGAGAGACACCAGGACAGATAAAGACAGGCAGAAAGAAAGACATTCAGGATTCTATGGATAAGATGTAAACTTATTCTTATCATAAGGGAGTTTGCTCCTCCTCTTTAAGAGCTGAACCAAACCACAACTGAACTGAACTTATTTCTGCTTTGTGGTCTGAAAATGCCTTTAATGGAACAAACACACATAATCAGTTAGCTACATTACACTAGCTTGTGGTATAGGTAACTCCACCACCAGGTTACATGGGAATGTCTTAAAGGTTTATATATGTAAAAATCTCAGTTTTACAGTAAATCACTGAATTGACATATTTTCAGATAGAGATTTAGAATAACAAAGCCAATGGATCAGTGGCTAGCCAGAAAGAGGATACTGCTATAGCAGCTAATTAGCTAACAATTTTAGCCTACAGCTAAACGTTGTTCATGTTGTTAGATAAAAAGAAAATAGTTGTGCTTTATTGTTAATGATCCATTAGTGTGTTGACTTATTTATTTTTTTCATACATAAGAAAATCTAAAAAGTATTCATTTAGTTTAAAATGCAATTTACAGGAAATGTCAATTTATGCTAACCTAACAGATTTTCTAATAGTATGAATGTTTACAGCTTAACAAATTTTAATTGATCATTTGGTTTAAGAACCTAAAGAAAAACATGGACGTAGCTTCTGGGTCAGAAGAACGAAGCCAATATCGAAGTGTCTTAAACCTGGATTTTACCTGAAGGCCAGCAGATATGAGAAAACTATTCTCTGTTTTGACCTCGGTAAATATTTTATGTGGTCAGTTGCTCATTTTGGATCATGTTGAATAAAAAATTACACCTATTTTGAAAATCTTGGTCATAGTGCATTTGAAAATGCAGGATTGCCTGTGAAAACAACAACAACCACAATCCAAACAATTCCAACCACTGAAAAGAGACGTTAAATGGCTTTTACTAAGAATCAGCGAACGTCCACTTACTAAACACTAATGTAACTCACACAGTCAACATGGCCAACCTTTTCTCCATTCTTTTATTTAACAAGGCAAGAAAAGAAAAGTAATTTCTAACCAAAGTGAATGAACATAGCCCGCTTCCTGTATTTTACCACTTACAAACCTTACTGCTTCTTTCTTTCCTTCTGTCTTCTTTTAGGAGCAGAGCCAAAAGAGGGACACTGCAGGCCTTAATTCTTTAGTTGAGGCTCCAGATTAAGTTAGTTACAGGAAGTGACTGTGTGTGGTGTGTATGTGAGTGGGTGCTTTGTGCCATTGTGGAATCTTCAGAGAATTCACAGCCCTGTGGCATTATAACTTGAGGAAGTTGAAGTAAAAGAGGCTGAGTTGGAGAAATAAATATTCAGTACCTGCTGGCAGAGAGTTCTTGTGTCGGAAGGAGTTCTTTGGCGTCCCCGGTGCACTCGACGGTCTCTCCCATGTTGTCTCTGTTGGTGTTTGGGAGAAGGGGAAGAAAAGAACACAATGACATTAACAAAGTAACACCAGTTGCTACATTCTTTTGTTATTCTGTTGACAACTTTGGAAACAACTTTGGAAACCATAAGAAGAAGTGATTCACAGATGGAACTTAGCTCTTGTCGTAGTCAGCAGTTAAACTCAAAAAAAGCCACATCTCGACCGCAGTCAGAGGGCATCTATTCTGTTTCACTTCTACATCGTGTATCAGCTATAATTTTGATTTATAGTGTTCGTATTTTTAACGTGAGGCCTCTTTTGATTCTCGAGTAGTAAAAAAAAAAAAAAAAAAGAGTCGTTGTTGACAACACAGGAACAGTGCAAGTGTTCTAGGACCTGTTATAATCAAAGAGATAATGTGTGTCAATTTCTATTTTGACCACAACATTTGCAAATGTGTTAAATGTAACTGTCACTGTTTTAGTAGCTAAGATGTAGCTAGATAGGTCTAGGTCTGTAGGTCAGACTAATAACTTTTTGACTACTGACATTATTTTGTCAGTATTCAAATGGACTTCACCTTCATGCGCCTCTTTTATTCTGAGTCTTGAAGGCTCAGAATAGAACTGAAAGGATACGTCTTTGATTCTTTGGACGGATACGTCAGGGCAACATGGGGTTCAGCATCTTGCCCAAAGAAATTTAAGACATGCCGACTGGAAGAACAGAGGATCAAACTAACAACCTTCTGACCTGCTCTGCCTCTCATCACACCCAGAAAAACTGGACAAGAGTGAAGTCTGTTTGATTCATATTCCTCTAAGAGTCAGGATCACTTAGCAACAGAAAATCAGAGACTGCTGCGTGGCAGCTACAGCTGTACAGAAACCTCGTTCCATCAAAACCTCCTGGATCAACCTGTTGCACTGGACAAGATGAACATTTACCACACTGGAAGGACAGGGACAGTGTTTCTATCGGCGATGCTTCCAGCTCAAATGCAGTCAAAGTGGAAGGATGTTTGCCAAATATCAAGATTTTACTATAGAGATTTAAGCCACTGTCTCTGTTCATGCAGACACAAATATGTAGAAATATAGTATGCCATATTAATATAAAATATTTGCCTTTTGTCAGTTCTAGCATGTTTTTCTGGAAAATTAGAAATATCAAAAGCTAGCAAACACAAGAATGTGTTTCAACACACCCACTGAGGAAACGCTGTCCTCTTTCCAGTGGTGAAAGTTTAGTTATTTTTTGCATCGCAGAGTTAGAAAAAGTACTATACACTTAATAATGGAAACATCACAGAGTAAACTTTACTTGAGCTATAGACGTGTCACAGGCCAACTGAAATGCAAGAACTCCCACTTGAAGTCATGTGGAAGTTGAAGGTCTACCCAGCCTTTATTTTTTAATGACATCTGTTCTGGCTGCTACAAAAATATATATATATACACGTCTTTTATCAACCACCTGTTCTCTTTTCCTGGTTGAACTGTACCTGTACAAAAGGTTCAAGCTTTGAACCAAGCAAAAAAAAGTATTAATGAAGCTTCTCAGAGGTACTGATGATACTTTCCCAACATCTATCCCAGTTTCATTCCTGCTGGAAAAGTTGCTGGCAATTGAAGATTGTAAAAGCAAGTCCAATGCAGATCCTAGAAGATACCCCTTTCATTTGAACTCCCTTATGTCCATTCTGACCACAGTGCTGGGCTCAATTAGCCATTTTCTATGATCACAGAGAGAATAGGCACAAACATGTAAAGAGCTCTCATTTCATTCGGGTCTTTTAGGCCGGCCCTGCTCTATTTGGCGCTGCTCAGCAGAGGAGACAACTGAGCCAAGCCCATCAGCTCAAATGACACGCATGGAGGGGATAACTGGCAGCGAGCTTATGGAGAGAGGCTGTACCTTCATGTTTGATGTACAACATCGGGGCAGAGCCGGCACTCGCTGGCCATAAATGTATCAATTCCTCTCTGTTAGGCTGTCACAAACAAATCGATACAGTAAGAAAAATGGGATATTAAAGCAGAAAATTATTGTATAACCTTCTTAGCAGAGGGAAATTGCTTGTTATTGTCATTCTATGTATTGCCAGAGGAATAGCATTCAAAACATCATTAAAAATACAATTTCATAAATCCCTCTTAGTCAGATTTAAACTAGATTTACAAATTAACGAAGGCTATCACAATCATTTTCAGCATGAATTGCCCGTAAATATTTTTTCCAACCAAATAGCACTTTTATTTGTATTAAAAGGTGCGAAAGCCCACATATTTACTATATGTTCAATCCCAGAGAGGGACAGATTGAGTTTCCAGGCAACTGGCTCTGATCATTTCCATGAACCTGTTTTTTTTTTTTGTTGTTTTGTTTTTGTTTTTTTTACACACATCAGTCTTAACATTTGCTGCATTCGTTCATACAGATACAGTGATACATATGCAGCAGCAGGAGTGATTTTCATCAGCCTGCCTTGTCACAGAGGAGATGAAGTCTAAAAAGCTGTCAATCATCCTAAATTACTTTGACAGCCTGGATTACAGAACAGAGACCAAAGAGTGCAGTTTACTCGCTTTTCTATCCGCCCTTTTCAGGTTTCACGTGGGTCTTAATGAAGCAGATTCATGAAATCAATGACAGAATGAAGTCATCTAATGATCCAAGCTGCATCAGCACGGGCTCATTTATGGATCATAAAAGCATTCATTTCTTTTCGGATAGAGCAAACGTCTCGGATTTTCATTTTGCACAGTGTGACTGACAACGGAAGACAGCGATGCTTAAAAGTAAAAATGAATGAATGAAACTAGTCGACAGCAGGTCCGATAGCAACACGCCGACAGCTTATTGTCCACGACGCCACACCGAGAGAGATCCCTGATTCGAAACAGGGAGAAGGAGAATGGCCTAGTTAGCTTTGACACTGATGCTATATTTTATTCATAACCATATGACACAGGTCCCTGATGGATTAGCTACCTCCTGTATCTGGTTTTTATCAGTCCAAGCAGCCCGTTCACTCACTGTGTTATCTCCAGATTGTAGACGCACTGACATGTGCTTTTCCTAACATGCAGAAAAATATGGGGAAAACAATCAAAAACACTAAACATAAATACTGTACACTGTCTGTGTACCTTATGTGAACTTATAACATTGTAAAGTCATTTTTGTCAGATTCAAGTAAAGTCCTTTAGAAGCAGTCGTGCCAGTAGCCACCTTGATAAGACTTTTAGGCTCTTATTTATATCATTTAACTACTTATTAGTCATGTTCACTTAATGTCATGGAAAAAGTGAATCAAATATGTTGTTAACTGAATGTTGAGCTGAATTTTAGTAGTTTACTGTATTTGAAAAGTAACTTATACACATTTAATGTTGCATGTTTTCACAAAACAGGGTAGGCTGTAACAGGGCAGATTTAATTGCTTTTACAATTCGGCCTTAAAAATCCTGGGACTGAATCTGTATCTACAGCATGTGTGCTCTGGCTGGAATGACTTTGGTTTAGTATGTTTATCCAGCAGCCCACTGGTTCACTGGGATGAGTGGAGATTCTGAGGAGACGGGTACAAGCTGCAACAGCCAGCACCGCGGCTCTGCTGCACCCAGCAACACAGGAAGGAAAACCTAGAAAAAAAAAAAAACAATCTCCAACACAAGGACATGCAGCCCTCACCCACGCACTCTGCTGTTACCATGGTGACACAGAAACACAAATGCACACGCACGCGTGCACACATACACACACGTACACACACATATACAATCTAATCTCGCTGAACTTTAGCGTAACCAAAGGGAAGTCCAAAGAAAATAGCAGAGTTGCTATAAATACCTAAAAATTGTATCAAATGTGTTTGTTTGGAAACAGCTGCTGTGGTAGTGAAGAGAAAAAAACCACAAGACCTGTAGTACAGCGGTTGTGTGCGTGCGTCAGGACCGAGCGTTCTCTAAGCTTTTAGTCATCGTGCAGCTAAGACTCAGAAAATAAGTCCTGCAGGTTTTTCCCGTGCCCTGTGAGGCCAGTTTCACAACACCATAGCAACAATATTGCTTTTTTTATGAGCCAGGATACAGATGCTGCTGATGTGTGAAAAAAATAACAACAAAAAAAGTTATGAAAAATTAATCATTTTTTTTCTCATAGGAAATATTGTGGGACTCCTTTTATAGCACCAAACGCATAAAAACAAGTAAGATCTGCTGACTTCTCAGTGGAATAATGTGAAAGGGAGAAATAGATGTTTTTACTATTCAACAACAGTCTTATCCAGTGAGAGTGCGAGTTGGGTCCAACTTTTAAGACAGCAGCACTTAAGCACCTCATTAAATCCTAAAGGAGCAGAAGGAGAAACCCTTGGCTCGTGCCTGGGTGGAGACCTCAGCTAAGTTTAGATCCGTGCTAATGACCGCAACTTGACCGCCGCAGCCGTGATCAGAGGCGAGTATGCTGTGAGCAGGTTTGATGTGAGGGTCATCAGTGACTGCTAGGCCACAATCCCAGTTATATGAAGGAGATAGGTGCACATGTGAAACCAGTACAACAAGCTGATTCACAACACAAGGCCAAGTATGAATAATGTTTCTAACTGTTCTGTCAGGTCTTATTACTGACACGTGGTTATGTGTTCTGGTAGGAATTCACACTGAAAAGTGAGCGTTTGGTCCAATCTCCACGCCTGAGAGCCAGCTCTCTGTCTGAACGCAGCGCAGGAAACGAGAGCCCCTGCCAAACTGTCTTGAAGTTGAGTGACAGAAAAATGTACTGAATATAATTTGTTTTTATTTTGGCTCAGTAGGAGGAAATGAGGATTGTTTTCATTTACTGACTTCTTGATTTTGTTGGTTTTCACCTGAAGGTAAAGGATGCTAGTAAGACTAAATGTATGCATGGTTTACACAAGTTTGCACACTGCTGTAGAATGTAAATGTGAATGTAATGTCGTCATGCTGCTTGTGTGACAGTTGCATGTATAAACCACTCTTACCTGTATTATTTAACCCAAAGGCACACAAGAGTTGTAAGATATTAGTATCATCAGTCAAGTTTTATAGTGACTTCACTCTGGGATAGTATTAAGCTGTCTCTGTGCCAGTGTGTCAGTGTGTGTGTCTAATCAGGGAGACACTGAGAGGTGATTGTGTTGACAGAAACAAGGCACTATCAGCAGGGTCTGTCCTTACAGGCCCTGATGGACGGCGTCTCTCTCTGGTACCATGACTACAACAGACACTGAGTGAACATTCAGCCGGATTACAGTCACATGAAATCACGCAGGTATCATTTTAAAGATCAAAACAGAGCTCTGCTAGCTTTCTGTTTCATGAAAGAAAACATATTATTGAGAATTCAAAGAGCGGTCTGAGAGCAAAGCAGGAAATCTTTTACTTCAATGTGGCAAATGGGAAATGAATGTTTATAAGCATGTCTTTTAGAGACATGTATTAACAAAGAAACCCCAACAGACAGCACAAGCGTCAGAGTGCAAAAATTAATAATGGCAGCTGAAGAAATAAATCTGCAGAAATAAACCAACTAATAAACCCAGGTGAACCTGTTTTACTTTCTCAGTAAACTGATTTAGTGGGTTTTGCAAAAAATACCAATACTTCTCTGAGTTATAGCTCCATTACATTTACACACTGACAACCAAAAGGTGATGATTATTGTAACTACAGAACTTGCCCTTAAGGGTAACTAGTATCAGAACGCCTGGTTATAGCTGTAACTACATTCAGGGGTAAATTCCAAACGGAAACTGCTAATAGCTAATTCAGCATACTTTTAATATTAACTATCATGTGTAGTATACAAAGTGAAAACTGAAGCTTTGGCACAGTTTGACGTTCACTGTGTAACTGGAAGGAAGTGTGTGGTTGGCACTTTTTTCTAGAGGAGGAAAGGCACAGTGTTATAAATGTTCTGGTGTGATGCCTTTTGAATGTGGTTTCAGAATATAACTCAGAAGTAAAGAGTTTTGATCAAATGGTAGTGTGTTTGGTCCTGGCAACACTGTGCCAAGTATGGTTCTCAAGTCAGGAGGTGATTAGCCTAGCTTAGCATGTAGGCAGGGGGCACCAGCTAGCTAGATTCTGAAGCTTATAATAATAAGTAATAACAGCTAAAAACTACTTCACTCAGGTCTCCATTTCTCTGTTTTGGAAGGTCACCACCCTTTCAAAGCTGCATCTGCTGATTTTTTTAGCTAATGTGGAATGAAACACAGCGAAACTGCTAGGCTTGACTCCATAGCGTGCTAAAGCTAATAATGAAACCTCATGACAAGATCAAACACACAAACTGATTTACTGACATTTATGATATGCAATTTACTGTTAATTGTGTCAATACTTATCGCTGAAAAAATTTACTTATTCTTTGCGTTTGATGTTAAATTTAATGGACAAAGCAGCTCAATTTTTATAAGTCGCCTGTAAAACTAACCACACCTATGAGAACTATTTTATTTTCTATTTTGCTCTGTTTAGTAAATCTGGTCTTAGGCTAACAATTGGTTGTCTACCAATCGTAAGGTCAGTGATTAGATTATAGCACCTCACATCTGCATGTCAAAGTATCCTTTGGGAAGACATGAACTCTGACTTTCCCCAATACATCCATTGCAGTGTAAGTGTTAGGTTAAAAAGCGCTTAGGCCTGTGTGAATGGGTGAATGAGGCTTGTAGTAAGAAAGAGCTTTGAGCGCTCACATAAACTAGAAAAGCATTACATCAGTACCACTCCATTTACCATTTAAGCAGTGACCTCTGGGACTGAAAACAAAAACTGAAGAGGGCCCTTAGGCTTGAATAGGAAAGCAAGCCACAAAAAGCCAGGCTAGTGATATTCCTGCTTCGGCTTCTTTTCACAGCACGTCTAAAAAATCCACATTACATTTTCGCTTACCGTTGTTTGTGGTGTTGACATAGTATCGCCGCCCTTGTGGAGACATATAGCATTTCCAGTGAGGAGGCAGGGGATCTTTGAGATCCTCAACAGGAATCTGACTCAGAGATGCTGTCCTCTATCAAAACAGAAAAGTAAGAAATGTCAATAATGATGAAGAGTCTTAGTTTACTCACTGTTTCTTAACCTAACGTTTAGAGTTAAAAGAAAGATTAGGCTATACTACTGGTGCAGAAGACATGTACAGCCTGGGTTCAATGAGGTTCTCATTTCCTCAAGCATTTCGCAACCATCGATGACATCATAGCGGAGCAGGCGGAATTGCTGCCGCTGCTACACAGAAAACAAGAAACTGGCATGGCCCTGAGGTTGGACGGAAAGCTCCAGAGCTCCAGAGTCAGCACATGAGCACACACAGCCGACAGCTGAAGAACACGATCGAGAGAGAGAACATGTAGCCAAACTGCGCACATCTGCTACTGATTAGCAGAAAAACAAAGGGCTGAGACTATTGTAACACTTTGTGGGGATGCTGTCTGGAGACCCGAGAGAGCCAAATGAAATTCCAGCTCTATTCCTCAACAGAAAGTCTGGCATAAGAGGTTCATTTTACAAACTGCGAAGATATTTGAGCCAATCACTGGTGGTAAATGGATATGTCTTTGAAGGATAAAGATTTGGAGCACTTACAAACCCCACAGTAAACTCCATCTCTGAATACTGACTCTAAACCCTTGAATTTATAATCATGCTTAAGGAGAAGGAGAAACATTATGCATTTAGGCATGGAGGGTGGCATTACTTAGCCTTTTAAACTATAAGACCAATTGTATTTGCTAGACATTTACAAGTCCTGATCTTGGTCTTCAAATGATGCATTTTTAAGTATTAATCACTGTGAAACTCAGATGGTGAAAAAGCATGCTCTCTGCATCTAAACAAACTAGTAGGTTCTGGGTCAGTTCAAGTGTTGTTATGTGAGAAAATGACAACAGGAAGCACTGGGGAAACCAGTAATGAGTGAAACTAACTGTCCTGAAAGGCCACTCTGGGTACGAGTTTGGAATCCAGGAAACAGGAATGCACTTCATTATCATTAGAGGCACCTGGGATGAGGACAGACAACACATTTCTTAATGGAAACCATCTCATTACCCATTTAGGGGTAATCAATTGCTAGTCAGTAACTATTTAAGCCCAAAATGTCCCTGGAGAATGAATCCATTACATGTAACTGCTGCCCTCAGTGAAAGAAGCAGAAGGATAGAAAGGAAGGAAGAAGGATAAAACCCAGACCTCTGTGGTCCCACAGGGCTCGAGAGCATGAACACATGTCAACCTCGGGAGACTTACGACTATGTGTAATTACACACTCTCCGACAGCATCTCAGCTAAGTTTTCTCTTTGATGGTCTCGGTGGTCACTTTTATATTTGTCCTTCATGTGTCTTTGAAAAATCGTCTGGTAATTTCTTACAGAAATGAAAAGTGGTCGCAGAGAAGTAACGATGGATAAACGGCATGCTACAAAAGAAAATCAGAGCTATTTCCAGTGGCAGCAGTGACAGAGTGTGGTTTGTGCACTGAAAAAGAAATGGAAAGAGTGTAAAAGACAACATGACAGTCAAACCACAGATACAGCTACAGCAGAGCTTAGTGCTACAGTGTACGGTTGTGCCTGCATAGGGAAGACGGCCTTCATTTACTTCGCACGTCTCTCAGTCAAACATGTGCTTTTGCAAATTCGTTTTCACAGTTTCAGAGTAGAATTGTGAAAACAAGACGAGACCAAGCCAAGGGTGTAAGCAAGACCCGATGTCTGACGTAGCAGCAATGCAGGAGCCAGCTTAGGGCTCTTATCATGTTGCGTTGTTATTTGGTCTTTGTGACACAGTAAATCTGCCTTTGGGCCCGGCTGTCTAGATGTTAATCATGTTTTAGTGAAAGTTCCTGTCTGGTGAGACCTAATAACTTATCCAGGGAAGAGAAATGAGCAGATAGAAACATGGAACTCAAAAGAATCCTGAATCGAAATCTTTCTGGATTTACCGTGTTGGTTTTTAGAGCATCAAGTGACCATGTTTAACATCACAAAAGCCATTTGCCAGATAATTATTTTAGAAATGCTCCATAAAACCTTAATACCACATCATCTGTCAAGACGTCTCATCCAGGGTAAAGCTTAATAGACGGCTAGCAGCTACAGCTATCTGTGGTGGCATCCACATGCTATTCAAAGACGCCACAACCCAAATAATATAAACCAGTGGTCCCCAACATTTTTACGCTACGGACCAGTTTATGTCTGACAATATTTTCACAGACTCACCTTTAAGGTGTCACAGATAAATACAACAAAATAAAACCAGTACCAAACAAACAGAAGATTTATTCATAACACACGGGAAAAGACCCAGGGAAACCAAGTTAACTATAAAAACGATAAAAAAATAACGATAAAAACCGTTAAAAACCCTGAAAACCATAAATTTCACACCCAAGTGTCACAGTACTGGGCCATGAGGCCCAGGGTTTACGTTCTAATGCATATTTTTGTATCCACATGTGTAGTTTAATGCATCTAGTTATTTTCTAGTTTGCAGTTTAGCCCTTGGTTTCTTAGTCCCTTTTGTCATCTCTCCCTGGTCCATGTGTCTACCTGTCATGTTTCATGTCTCTGGTTAGGTTAAGTTCATGTTCTATCTCCATGTCTAGGTCTCTGTGTTTCCTGTTTTATTTTGAAAGAGTATGGTGTTCTTTGTTCACTGTAGTTAGTGTTACTCTCCCCTGTATTGTCATTATGTTTCCTTCTTGTCAGCTGTGTTCTCATGTGTCTCCACTTCCCCTGATCACCTCATGTGTGTATTTAAGTCCTCAGTCTTGTTTTGTTCGTCGCTGCGTCGTCTGTTCAACTTCCCCCATGTTACGCCAGGTTTCAGGACCCTGTGCTGGTCATGTCCACGTTGCTTACGTGTATATGTTTCACAGTTCTTTGTTGTTCCAGCACAGAGTCCTGTTCATAGTTGTCTCCGTCATATGCATCGTTGTCACCCTGTCTTAGCCTTCCCTGCTGTCTGAGTTAAGTGTCAGTTCTTAGTTTTCCCAGTTCAGCTTCTAGTTTAGCTTTGCCTCAGTGCTTTCTGTTGTTTGCCACATTATTCAGCCCAAATAAAGGCTCGCTTTTCATTTCAAGTTCAGTACTGTCTCCTCGTCTATGTCTGCACCTGGAACCTCACACTCCCACACACGGTCCGCCCGCCGCAGACCGTGACACCAAGCCTCAACTCTCCCGGCCCGGTACTGGCAACGATCCGTGGCCCGGGGGTTGGGGATCACTGATATAAACTTTCTACATTTATAACATTTATAGTTTTATAAAAATCAACCTCATACAGCTGTTGTAAAGGTAAACCTTAGCTACAGTGACCCAAACAATTTTTTTAGAATGACCTGTAGACATTTTTTTAACTTTATTATTACACTTAAACACTTCTATAAGCAACGACAGCACTTAACTAGTTCATCTAGCAACCCAGTAATATGTATATTATTAACACTCGACAATAACACTGGACAATGGGCAAATTAAACTCACATCCAGAATGTTTGCCCTCCAAGTTTGACCTTACAGCATCAATCGGAACGAGATTCTGGTCTGTTTTTATCAGAGGACTTCATTTACATACCGTCGATACATCTCCAAAGCCTAAATGATCTTCCAGGTTAACAGATCTCATGTACTACACTAACAAAACACCCTTGGAGTTTTCTCTGCATTTCCTGGCTGCTTTCCTGTTGGCGTCTTTCTGTTGTTAGGTCACATGCTCATTATCAGTGAAATGTTAGGCCAGTATTGTTGTTCTCGGAGCTGAGCAGATATGGCTCTTAGTAGCAGGCAAAGACAGATGGGAGTGGGCTGTTTGAGCTGAGGACACATAATATGCAAAAACTCTTGGCCACGAAGACATTTTAGTTCATTTTTAGCACAACAATTTAAAAAAAGAGTGTCTCTGAGTCTTGTATTAAATTTCAGTCTCTTCAAACATCAACAAATTTCACAAGCGAGCAAAGTTTGGACCGAGCCACAAGAGCACAAGTTAAAACTCTCCTTCCTGACAGAAGTTTGTGACAGATCTGACAGCCCTGTCGTGGAAAAAAAATAAAAATCAGATGTGAATGAGAGAATGGGAACACCTTGGCAGTGGGAAATATTAAGAATCTGAGAGCCAGCTTGCCTAGGCATATGCAACTTTAAATAATGCACCATTCCAGATGGTTAACCTTCCAAGCCCCAGACTGCCTTTGGCTCCACACTCATGTCTTGCCAGAATTGCCCCTGGTAGCGAAAGCAAGGACTCATCAGGGCCTGTGATGACTGATGAGCAACCACTATAATCGTTTCAGCACTCTGCGGGCTCTGCAGACCCCAGTTTAAAAGATAAACCTCTAATTGAAGGCGTATTAGTCATTTCAGATGTCATTAGAGAATCTTGAAGATAAGAGAAATATTAGTTTGAGCAATGATCTAAACGAGTGAATTGTGGTTTCATTAAAATGTCACTATCAGGTTGAAGTTATGAATACCATGTTTGCTTTTTTTGAATTCTGTCTCATCTTTTCCAGGCTATCGTTTCAACTGTTTACAGTCACAATAGAGGACAGAAAACATGGAAATACACAGAGGGGTATGGTATTCTTCTTAAGCTTGGAATACACCTTAAACAGAACAACAAGTTTTTACCAACTTACACAAGTCTTAAGACTTTGGCTGTCCAGGCGGAGCATACAACTTACAAAGGAAAATCTGATAATCTGAGCTCCATAGTAGAAAACATGCACAAGCACATTCTGCAGACCCACAATATGATACACACCAAGATGAGTTTCTAAAGGTTCAAAACACCAAACACACGTGGTCTTCCAAGATGACTTATCTCAAAGTTGAGAAATAACCATTACACATTTTCGGGAAGTCTGCATAAACTCTACATTCGTCTGGGAAAGAAAGAAGAAGAAGAGAACATACTCAACGAAAAGCAGGCGTCTGATCAGTTTCTGCTACGAACTAAAGTTGAAAAACCAGTATCTCTGAGGATCCCAGTTCTAGACAACCTATTAT